AAGGATTAAATAACAACAAAAAAACTAAGTTTGTTTTTTTATCAACCAAAATATATAATTAATTAGATTTAAAGATTATTATCTTATTCCACTTTTTTATGATATATTAATTATGATATATTCTTGTAAGATCTGGCGGCGTACGATCAGAAAGAATTGTTACGCGGCCATATTTTATTATTCTTAGAAAACAGGTAGAAAATTCAACATCAAAAATTCTAGTTATTTTAAAATAAAATGTTTTTATAATAATCGACGGAAAAAAATTTTTTTTCTTTAATGATATTTGAAATCATGCTAAAAAGTCTATTAAAATGCAAAAATAAAAAAATTGAGTATGATGTATGCTATTATTATGATTATATATATTTGTGATTAAAGAATCTAAAGTTTTTCTCTACAAGTAAATGTAATTAAATTCATGAATGATTATTGTTATTATCATCAGTAGCATGTACTCCGGCCTTTTCAAAAGCAACGGTTGCAAAGGTAACCCAACAAATCAATAACATTAAAACAATCAGTCCAATGTAAATTTTTGTCCTTATTTTCTTTCTTAATGATATGGTTTTGCCAAATGTTATTTTATCATCTGAAGTTATTTCTCGCATTTTTCTCCTACTACTCACTTCTATCATTCTTTTTGTAACTTCATCGCCTTCATCGTCTTCATCCTCCTCATATTCATCCTCCTCATCTCTTAATTTACCATAACTATCAAAGTCATGAAGAACCTCATCATTATTATTATGGCTTTTGCTACCATCATCATTCGAATTCATAATACCACCTTTATATTTCTTATCCGCCCACCAAAATATCAAATTACTTAATAACAAAAGAAAAGCTAGGAAAGCAAACATTCTTACAGCTACTAAATCATCATCTTCGTGCCCATACTCAATCCCATCATCATCGATTTCATACTTTTTCCCTTTGACATGTTGATCTAATAATAGACCTGCAAATGTCTGGCTTAATGTTGCACCAATATTATCAACACTTTTTAATAATCCAAGTCCTGTAGATACATGTTTTGTTAATAATGGTACTAGAGAGACGGTTGTTAATGGAATTGAGCCATAGGCGAACGCAAAAAGTAGAATTGGTGGAAATGGATGAATCAAATGTGGCGGTAGTAAAAATAATAAATATGTCGTTAAAATTGCCGCAGAACCAGCAACCACTATATAAATATAGATATAGAAATAAAAATAAAAAGATATATTGTGTTAATCTGTGCTAATAATGCTTTTTTCTTTTTTTTTTAAAAAAAAATAATATTAAATTCTTCATACATATATATAATCTCGATCCATATTTATCCAAAAATAATCCCAAAAATGGATATAAAATTACGGGTATTAATAATATTATAGATGAATCCCATGCTGCCATCATATCCGTTGTGTCAAATCGATGTTTTATTATATTACTATATCAATCAATCAATCAATCAATTGAATAACTATATTGTTTAATTAATATTAATTAATAAAAAATTTACCTTGATAAATGAACAAATGGTGAGATAGTCATTCCAAGTAATAATCCTACAACAAGAGACCACCAAAAAAGATCGGAAAGTTGAAATATATCATCCCAATGTACTGTTTTCTTTTCGATTATTTTATTAACTGCTTCTCCATCCTCTTTATTATTTCTCTTACTATTATGATTTTTTCTATTATCGGCATATCTCAAAAGTAATATATATATTATATTCATTATCCAAGAAACAAAACATGTAAATGCTGCTACAAAAAATGGTGTACGATATGTTAATGGTGGCACTAAAGATAGCGGTACAGCCAAAATTGTTGCAAAAAATGATGCCTAAAACAGTAATAATAATTTGTTGTGAGCTTATTACAGTATATATATATATAATGGCAATAATAAAAATACTTTCATTTTTTGCAACTTACCAATCTTCCAAATATCAGTCCAACAGCCAAAGCAAATCCTAATCCATTCCCTTGAAAGAATTGTACAATAATTGTTTCTTGAACAATAGTTAAAGGAGCCAAACCCATACTATTATTACATATATATATATTTTTTTTTAGACTGAATATTTAAAACTTGATTTTTAAATAAATAACAAGAAAATTTACCCAAACACCATAAACCCAATAATCATAGAAACGACTTCACCGGTCCAACTCGCTACGGTTACAATTATCATTCCTATTAAAATTATAGTTGTAGTTACTAAAGAGCTTGTTGTAGTTCCAAACCTCGCTACAAGCAAACCCGAAACTATTGGTATTACAGTATTGCATAGAGTAAATGAAGCAACCAATAATGAAAATTGTGTGTTTGTTAAATCAAGTTGCTATATTTGTTTAAAAAAAAGAATTGTAAATATAACTTATATATATATATATATAGAAAACTACAGTATTTTTGAACTTGATGTTCTACCTCCATTAATATTCCTTTTAAAGGACCTATGATATGTGATGCAAAATGACTTCCAACTCCAAATGTACAAGCACAAGCCATGGCTGATATCTTTATTAATCTTTCAACATCATACTTTTTAGATTTTTCTTTTTTAAATGACATCAGCTCTGAATAATCATCTGCATCTTCCTCCACATTTTCACCAAATGTTTTAAGCTTTACATGTTCCATTAATATAAATATATATATTTGTATTTAAAGTCTAAAGAATGTTTATTTAATTTAATTATAGGAATTTTGTTGTTGAAGTTTAAAGGGATTTTTTTTTTACTAGTACTATATAGTAATAGTACTAAAATAAATTGCCGATTCTAATTTGGAAAATTCTCGTTATTGTGTACTTCTCAAACAATTATTGTAACACGTGCATGTTGACACCAGGTAAAGTGTTTTAAAAATGACTTCAACAACATTGCTTGAAAGACCTGTTGAATTATGGAGACCAAAAGACATTAAAAATACTGAAATGGAAAAGTTTCGATTGGCCGTTAATAAAAAATTTAATATTAATTTGGGTAAAGATGAAATAATTATATTCTTTAACACCAAATAATTTATATTGATTAAATTTATTTATTTATTAGGAAATTATCAAGAACTTTGGAAATGGTCAACTGAAAACATTTCAGAATTTTGGGCAATGGTTTGGGATTTTACAAATATAATATATTCAATTCCATATAAACAAGTATTAGAAGAATCAAAACCGATGGATCAAAATCCATCATGGTTTATTGGAGCAAAGCTTAATTTTGCTGAAAATTTATTACGATGTCGAGATAAAAATAAAATTGCATTGATCTCTACAGGTATTTATAATAACAACGACGATGATAATTATTATAATTTATCTATTCGTTCGTTCGTTCATTTGTATTTATATGTAAATCAATAATCATAATGTAGGTGAAGGTAGAATTCCGATAAGAATAACGTATGAAGAACTATATAATCGAGTTAATCATTTAGCTTCAGCAATGAGATTAGCTGGTGTTAAAGTTGGAGATAGAGTTTGCGCGTATATTTCCAATTGTATAGAGGCAGTTATAGCGATGTTAGCAGCCTCAAGTATAGGAGCAATATGGAGTAGCACGTCGACAGATTTTGGTGTCACTGCTGTATTAGATAGATTTTTACAGATTAAACCAAAAATATTACTTTCAGTTAACGCAGTTATTTATAATAATAAAACACATGATCATTTATCAAAATTAAGGAAAGTCGTAGAAAGTTTAGTAGAAGAAAAACAAGGAGGAGGTTGTTTAGAAAAAGTTATAATCATACCATTTGTTACTGATTCTTCTTCTACCACTTCCGACGACAATGATATATCTTCAATACCATTAGCAATAAGCTGGAATGATTTTCTAAATACATGTGAAGATCCTTTATTGAAAAAAAAAGATTTAATATTTGAACAATTACCATTTGATCATCCACTATACATATTATTTTCTTCGGGTACAACAGGAAAACCCAAATGTTTAGTTCATCGATCAGGAGGAATGTTGATTCAACATAAAAAAGAACACATATTACATGGAAATCTGAATAGCAATGATGTGTTTTTTTATTATACAACAACTGGCTGGATGATGTGGAATTGGTTAGTGTCAGGTTTATTTGTTGGTTGTACTTTGGTGCTTTATGATGGTTCTCCCTTTCAACCAAAACCTTCTATTCTGTGGGAATTAGTTGATGAATTAGGGTAAATTTTATAAATATATATGTGAGTGCATATATAATATTCTATTTACATAATTATATAATTATAATTTTTTAATTAATTCATCTATTCATCAGAATAACAATTTTTGGGACATCAGCAAAATATATACAAAGCTTACAAGATATAAATTACAAACCCAAAGATAACCATAAATTAAATAGTTTGCGTATAATTTTTTCGACCGGATCACCTTTGAAGCCTGAAAGTTTTGATTTTATTTATAAAGAAGTAAAAGATGATATATTATTAGGATCGATTACAGGTAGATAGATTAATTAATTAATTAATCATTTAAAATTTAATAAAAAATATATATTTATAAGAATTTATATACATATAGGCGGAACAGATATATGTTCATTATTTGCAGGACATAATGTTACTTTACCAGTTTATAAAGGTGAAATTCAATGTGTTTGTTTAGGTATGAAAATTGAAGCATGGGAAGCACAAGGTATGTTTTATAAGTGGCGTGTTTATATATACACATGTAATTTTTCAAATAATAATAATAATCATGATAACCTAAAAAAATTATAGGAAAACCGGTTTACGGAAAATCGGCAGACTTGGTTTGTGTAAAACCATTCCCGTGTATGCCAATATATTTTTGGAATGATGATTCTAATAATTCTAAATATAAATCAACTTATTTTTCCCGTTATTCATCAGTTTGGTATCATGGAGATTTTGTAATAATAAATAATCCAGATGTCAACATTTACAACGATAACAATCATGATTATAATAATAATGGTGTTATAATGTTGGGTAGATCTGATAGTACATTGAATCCGGGAGGTGTAAGGTTTGGTAGCGCGGAAATTTATAATGTCATAGAAAGTAATTTTAATGATTTAGTAAAAGATAGTTTAGTGGTTGGTCAGAAATTAGTTGTGGAGGATGACGAGAGAGTTGTTTTATTTTTGGTGATGAATGATGATGTGGAATTGAATGACGGATTGATTAGTAAGATTAAGAAATGTATTAGAGATCAATTGAGCCCAAGGCATGTTCCTTCTGTTATTCTACCTATTCAAGATATTCCGGTATGTATATTCATTTATGAAAGAATGAGAATATTAATTTTTATTTATATTATTAATTTAATTTATTTATTAATTTATTTTATAGTATACTATGAATGGTAAAAAAGTAGAAGTAGCAGTGAAAAGAATAATTTCAGGTGAAAATGTTATAGCATCTGGAACATTAGCAAATCCTGATAGCCTATCATTATATTATGATTTACCTGAATTAAAGCTGACAAAATAATTTTGTCACTTTCATTCTTTTTTTTTTTTTTATTTATTTATTATAATTATTAATTGTGCTTGTATTATTTATTACAAAAATAAAAATGATAAAAATATTATTGTTAATTCTAATGATACCCGTACATCCAATCCACCATACATACACACATACATACATTCATTTATTATAATCTTATTTCTTGTCGTCTTTAAAAAAAAATTAATGTTATTATTTTGAAATAATAAAATAATAAATAAATCCAAAAAAAGCATTTGTTACCATTTGTTTGTCTGAAATCGTCCAAATATTTATATACAAATATTGTGCATATAAATAACAATTATTGTTATTTGACCAATTTAATGTTTTAATCCAAAATATGAATAATAAATATAAATGATGTAATGTAGTATCATTATTCTATTTTTAATTGAAGATAATATACATAGGTGGAAATCGAAAATATTAAAAATATAATGTGATTATTATTTGTAATTATTCTTGATAATGATGACAATAATTATTATTATTAAGATGATGGAAAATAAGATAATTTTTTTGTGGGTAATTTTAATATTTCAGATCTAATAAAAACTTTTGTATTAATAAAAGAATAACTTGGTGAAGGTATTACAAGTTCATTATTATTACTATTATTATTACTATTATTATTATTATTATTATTATTATTATTATTATTATTATTATTGCTATTACTATTATTATTACTATTACTATTATTACTATTATTGTTATTATTATTATTATTATCATTACTATTACTATTAGTATTTTTAGTTAAAGGTGATGTGATAGAATATATAACAGTTGAACCATTACCACCAGCAGGTGTTGTATCCGCCGTTGATAGTGATAATAATTTTCTATCATGAATTGTAAAAGAAGATCTGGGTGAAGAAGATGTTGATGATGATGATGATATTATATAGGGAGATGATGTATTTGATGAAGAAAATGAAGACGACGAAGAATACGACGATAAAGAATTAGCAATTATTGGATTGCTACTACTACGATTCATTATAACAATATGATTAAAGTCACTTTCTATTATTGCTTTTGATTCATCATGAATAACTTTACATTGGTCAAGAGGAATATATAAATGTTTACGCGTATGAATTGAATCATTTGTCCATAATTTATTTGCTCTTTTCAGTGCTGACAACTAATTAAATTAATTAATAAATTAATAAATATTGATTTTGATTTTTTTTCTTAAAAAAAAAAGAGATGATAAGATAATAATAATAATTCACAAACCTCAATTCCATAAAGTAATGCAATACCTGGCAATGTGTCAGAAGGTTTTACAATATGTACGGCAACCAGTTTATTTTCTAAACTATTATCAATTGATGACGATTTTCCTTCTGAATGTTCATTTATATTATTACTATTATTACTATTATTATTATTTTGTTGCTTTTTTAAATCTTTAATTAACGAATAATCATAATCTCTTAATTTCAAACCATTATCATCATAACCTTCTAAATAAGTAGGTAAATAAGCTTTATTAGAATTAAAAATAAATTTTTTTGAAAATGTTATTAATGTAGCAGCTGGTAAATCTGTGGGTTGATCAAGCGGATGTTCAGTTGCTGGAGTAAGAGGTAATTTACGAGGAAAGCTGGTTTTTTTAAATTTTATTGAAGCGTTTGTTAATGATGATGATAAACTGCTGTCGTTACTGTTGTTGTTTTCTGGAAAAATAATAGTTTTAAAGTCTAAAGAAGTATTGGTGTTCCAAGGATCAACTTGTATTTCTAAAATATTATTGTTATTATTAACCAAATTAGCTTGTTCTATAGAATCTTGAAAATAATTTAAATTCATTTTTATTTTTTTATAAGAAAATGTTTTTGTATCACATGTCAAAATACTAAAAAGAGCAATCGAATAAATTAAAAAAAAATTTATTGTTGTCCAATAATGTAAAGTTTAATTGAGAGTAACAAGCAAGCTTTATTTATTTTATTTATTATTTATTGTCGTCGTCTTTAATCTATGTAATGTAATTTATTAAGAGGAATTTGTAAATTAATTACTAATAAATGTGAGAGAATTTACATATATGCAAAAGTTTCTATATTTAAATTAGTATTATTACTGTATATGGATAGATGGTGTGTATATATAGTTAAGGTATATACAATTAATAGAAATGGAAAAGTCACGTAAAAATTAAAAAATTTCTAATTTCTTTTTTTTTTCTTTAGACTTGGTAGTAGTTTTATAATTCAGAGATTTCTTGTATATTTTATATTTAACAAATTCCGGGTCTCTATTCGTGTCACCACTTGCTGCTACTTCTCGTGAAAGCAATCCAGCCGGAGAGACTAATTGTCCCAATAAACGTTGAGATTGTATTTTATGAAATTTCGCATTATGTCGACGAGATGCGGATTTCTTGTTATTTTCATTGTCGTTCTCGTCGTCATATTCATCATTAGGCGATGGTGCAGTTGGTTTTGATGTTGATGATTTGTCCTCAGTCAAATTCTCTTTTGATAAATTCATCGACTTGTTCTTGTTCTTATTCTTGTTCTTATTCTTATTCTTATTCTTATTATTGCCTTTTTCTTCTGCTTTTACTTCTTCAGTCGAACTATTACCTAATTTAGCAGCTGCAGCATATGTAGAATGTTTTTGAGATTGTATTAATTGATATTCGCTGTCTTCTGTATCAATATCACCAGCATCGCCACCGCCACCAATTTTTGGACGAATAACACAAACACTGATACGTTGGGAAAGTTCGATATCTTCTTCAACCTCCCACATATTAATTTCTTCCCAATTTTCATTTGCCATTTTTATTTTTATTTTGATGTTGTTGTTATTGATTGTATTAAAAACTTTTTATATTAAATTAAAAAAAAGTATGTATTGGTTGTTTATTATTTTAAAAATCAAAAAAAAAAGTTTTTTTTTGATTTATTATTATTGTTTTTTGTTTTCAAATTGAATGGTTTTGGAAATTCTTGACCCTTTTTATATAAAATTTATAAAGATAAGAACTATTGATATTATTATTATGTAATTATTATTACATTACACTTTATAGTTATTATGGTCACAAGCCCCAAAAAGAGAAAATATAAAAACAATATTATCCGTAGCGCGGAATGATAATTTTGTCTCCATAAATCGTCGCAGTAATTGTGTGCAACAAAATTTATCGCACCGCGTGAAAAAAAAATCATGGGTTCCAATTGATTTATGTGTTGTTTTTATTTAATCGCTTATTGGTATTTGGTATAATAAAAATGAGTTAATAAAGTGAAAGTCAGTTGAACTTTATTTTCATATTATTTATTTTTCAATGTAATTAATTGTTAACCTCCTAAAAAAATAATAATTGTTTTTTACTATTATGATAGTATAATAATATAAATGTTATTGTGTCAATAATTTTGACTCCTATAATCGTCAAGCCCGTCATAATTCTTTTTATAACTATGAATTATTATTATTATTATTAAAAGATTTAAAAGATAGAAAAAGTGAACAAAAAAATTAAATTAAATACATTATCACACATGTTTTTTTTGTTCTTTCATATTGGAACAACAAACAATTTTAAATTTTTAATTTTTAATAAGTTGTTGTTATGATTTTTTATGATTATGCTTTATGACTCATCCCATTCATTCCCAATCACCATCTATCTATGTTGTGAGTTTGTCACACTAAGGAATTTATGCCGATCTCTGCACATGACCAGTAACAAAGGAATTATTAATTTATGGAAGAAAGTATTTGGACGCACAAAAATTACATGAGGTTGTTAAATTTATAAAAAAAAAAAAAAAAACACAATACAATGTTTGTAGACCATCATTTAGTTGAAATACATGCTCCTGTTTTCTCGTCATGTTATATAACACCTGCTGTTAATTTTTTTTCTAATAGTTGGTATAAAATTTCCATATAATCTTAGTCTAGACGATTCAATGTTCTTAAGCATGAAAATCTTAAATATTCATCACACACTTTGAATCTGTCTATCGATCTCAGGAACATTTTTCTTGTGCAATATTACGCAATTATCATATAATAATTATTCCAGCAAACCTTTTTTACGCAAATTTACGCAATTATTATGTGATTTTAGAAAACTTAGATTTGTAAGTGTGATATCTTGTTGGTCTGTTAACAATGGTTTTACGGCCACAATATGAGAGAAATTTTAAGTTTGTGAAGGATTTGCAAATTGTTTTTGATGAAACTTCAATACTAATGATTTATTTAGGATTTAATTTGCAGTATTGTGATTATATGTCTTTTAAAACTTTTGGATCAACCACTTCTTGGTGTAGTTCTTGTAACTTTGATATTTTAGTAGAATTATTAGTCATTTTTTAAAAAAATTTATCTTCAATCTTAATTTTTAACAGTTTATTTATTTTTTAATTTACATGCTATACGGATCTTTGAGAGAGATTATCGTGATATTCGTGTTTTATACATATGCTATATATGGAAACATAAAATAAAAACTGATATAAAAAATTTCATAAAATGCGTTCCTTACACAAAGATGATAAAATCTTAATAGATCGATAATATTTAAGTCGATCGGTTAATATTTAACACCAATAATCATTATTAACATTATCAGCGTAAAGATTGTCATTAACGTTATCAACATAAATATTGTCTGTCATCGACGCCATTAATAACATTTTCATTGTCATCTTTTCGCCAATACACGTGTAAACTCAATAAGTCGGACGCAGCAATCAATACTCGATAATATAAATAAATGACCGACTTATCGAGTTTACAACGCATTATTAGCGATGTTGGAAAAACTACTCCGGTCTAGACAATTACAAGGTAGCTTCGCCGTAGAAATTCATCGCGAAACTCCGCAGCAAAGATCATCCGAAAAATTTTAATTTAGTGAGATAATGGTAGCGGGTGGCGTATAAAATTCGACTGCGCTTCATATACTTCATATACAAATTTGTCCAAGTTTGATTAGTATCAGCGCGCGCCGTTGAATTTTATGGCCGAATTTATCAGAATCACCGTGTAACTCGGAATTATTACGCCTTTATTTAATCTTCTAAAGAGAATTGTACTTCAAGATAATCTAAGGCGATGATGCAAGCTACGAGGAATTTTTATTTAAAGATAGAAATGTCAGGAATCTTCTACAATGTTTCCATCATTCATCAAAGTACCTCATGATCTGTTATCTTTACAATTTGAATTCTCTAGAGAACTATTTTTCGAACTAATATTTATATTGTAACAAAAACAATCACACAATAAAAATAAAAATCGTTATAGCAAAACTATCCTTAATAAAACTATCTTTATTAAATTGATTGATTATTGAATTGAACTGTTAATTTAAAGGTTACGTTATAATTAATCAACCACGATCCGATACCATTTAAAATTGAGTTGTAAAGTTTAATAAACTTGTTGTTACGTTATTTGTTAAGGAGTCTTCCTTAACTAAATTATTTTATTATAATATCAAAGAAATAAATAAATGGATAACTTTAATAAGCATTTTCATACAAAAATTTTGTCACACGAAATTTAATTTTTCAAAAGGCCCAACCAAATTTCTAATCTAACTGATAAGTTTTGAAACTATAAAACTTATCGGTTGGATATCTTGTTTTAGTAGATTTAAAGGCGTTCAATTGCTATTATAAATCTGTACTGTGATGACCTGTAATTTAAAGTTAGCGTTCTAACTCGAATTTGTAAAGATGAAAATAAGTTGTGTGGATCTAACATTTTTAGCTTAGAGTTATTTGAGACAAAAATGCACCAAATACTATAATGACCAAAGGAAATGGATGTCTGATCAAATGAATTTTTTATATCTTATAAAGTCTCGAATATGATGAATAACGCTTACGAATTTCAAAACATGTCGACTCCATGTTTAAAAAGTTTATTCCTTATTAAATATATACACTGTATATTATAGGTAATGTAAGACGGCTCTTGTTCAATGTCTAAAATTCAATTTTTTTTTTTTAGTCACGCACCCAAACTTAACTATAATTATCCATAGTATATAATTTAGCGTCTGCCAAAAAAAAAAAAAAACTTTATATATTCTTAAATATTTTTTATTTATAATTATTTAATATTAATGAACGCGTCTTGGATATTCGTGTGTGTGTGTGTGTGTGTGTGTTTTGGTTGTTTTTTCTTTACACTGTTTTTTTGGTAAAATTTGTACTCTGTAACGTAAGAAGGTGGCTTTGATGAGGTCAGATACTTTATCCATTAGGCAAAAAATTGTAATATATGCGGAAACTCGCGGAAAAATTTCACGTGGACCGCCAGTTCCGCAAAGCGAATAATGTTTTTTTGTTGAAGCACATTACATTATTGTTGAAGACGGACACTATTCAGATTAAACAAGCAAAAGTCAACCGAACTTTATTCTTTCGACATGTTACCAGAGACTTATTTATATTCAATATTTTCAATAAAGTGCCATATTTTCTCATGATGATACAGTCAGAGCAATCGATACTTTTAAAAGCACTAGGAAATTTTTCTTATTACACAATATCATAGATATTTACAAGCGCAATAATTGCGCAATATCGCGCCAGAGAAAATTTTTGATAATCCTAACACAGAATTTGTGACCGAGTGTTCTAAAAGCATTGATAAGATAGTTTTTCCGGGTCAAATATTATTGATAAAAAAACTATCTGTGTTGGTCAGCCAGCTTTCGCTTTACAATAAACAAGGAAATATTAATATATTTTGAAAACATTCATTCACTGATTAAATAATTAATAATTCATTTCAGTATTCTCGCTTTTATTCATTCCATCGACAAAAAAGTATTTTATAAATTTTTAGTAAATCAATGTAAAAATAAAGAATGTTTGGGACGCAATGTAAAAGATAATTAGAATTATATGATTCTTTTCTGCTAAATTCATTATGCTTTGATAGGTTGCTAAAGCTACAACTACCATTTCTAGGCATGGTTTTGGTAATCCTATTCATTACTTACCATGATAAGTTCTTTTGTGATTTTATAATCAGATGATTGATTGACTGCATATAATAATAATGGCTTTAAAAGCAAATTCTCAAATAAAGGGAAAGATTTGCGATAAATAAATTCTACACAAAGAATTGCCAAATTTAGTGATGTTAAATAAAAGACTAAAAATATACAAACCAATGATATTCCTATGTTGTGACCATAATTAGGGAAACACAAAAACATGTTTGTGAATAAATAATAAATAAAACAATTAAAATCATAAATATTATATAATCCAATCGGATGCGATAAATAACTCGGCTGAAAAAATTATGCTTAAAAACAATATAATAATAAACATAATTAAAAGACTGACTACGTATAATAAATGTTAATATGAATAAGGTTTTTTTTCGCACAGATTAATAGTAATAATACAATTATAACTATATACAGTATATATTAATATAACTAAATGAACTACGTGACGTTTTATTTTAAAATTTTCATTGTTCCGAGAATTTCTTTGTAGGAAAGAATTTTGACTCCTCTTCTTCTTCACTTCCTTCTATTAATATTTAATGCCTTTTTATGACTAAGTCAAATCAAGGTCTTTTATACATCGAGAACTATAATAATCCTTTCCATATATGAATTAGTTCCAAGTTTTAATTTAACACAACCTTTGATTTTATCATAGCCTCTTCTAATTCAACATTTTCTTTAATTCAACATAGCCAATACACCACAGCCTTTAATTCAACATACATACCACACAGTCTCTTTGATTCAGAATATTATTTAATTCAACATACATCTTTATTTTCCCACGGCTTCTAACTTAATGCACACTTGTTCTTTAGCCTCTTTGTGTTTAGAAAAAACAAGAAAAATTATTTATATATTTTTTTATTCATGATTTAAACAATTATATTTTTTTATTAAAAGTGTTATTGATCTTTAATTTCCATTTTTAGGATCACAATTACACGGATGTAAGGCTCAGAAAATTTTAATACCCATCCTATATTGCTGTAGAAAAAAAAACAATAGTGAATTTTTTTTAAATTGTAAAAAAAATGAATGAACTCTTTATCTGTAAGTCATTTCCATAAAACAAAATATTTACAAGCTGAATTCTATATATTATAAAACTAAAAACGTTCACAATTCTACGTTGTAATATATAATTAATATTTTTTTTTGATCGACAAAAGTAAATAATAATAAAAATACTTTCGTATTGTAAACTAGTCCATGGAAAAGAGAGATATCATCCTCGTTTTCAAATATAGTTGTAGTATGATTATGAATACAGGGAGATTTCTATTTTTTATTATAGTAAAAATAAATTTTACGCATTTAGCAAAGACTGACTACTGCCATATGACCATTTTTGATCATGGTTTTTTCGCCATCAGCATTTGTTCCCCCAAAAAAATCCTCCTAATATGCCACGTTATATTCAAAGGTGGGATCAGTACCTCTCTTTTTTGTGGACTCCACCCAATACCTGCCGTAGTGTTTTATTTCAAGTAGTAAAAGAAGATAAGAATTTGCAGCAGTAACAGAATCCATTCTTTTACCTTCTTTATTTTTCAATGAGAGGTGACAACGATTAGAATTCATAAAGTACCAAATATTTTAAAATATGCGAAAATATATTATTAATTTATTTTGTTTTTCAAAAAACGTTTTCTGCGCATGTATTTTAATTTTTGGATGCAGTTAATCAAATTCAGAAAGGCAGATATTAAATAAAAATTTGCAATTATTCTTTATCTTAAAAATGGGTTAATCAAACTCCACGGCCTGAAGGATATGGAGGATTCAGAGTGGAATGGAGAGACGAAATTACATTTGTGCTCCTTTTTTTAAAGAGTTTGTTGGAGACCCTCCTACGTTTAGGTACTTTGCCCTAAAGAGTCATCATGTTGGCAGATGATCTTTGGCATTAAACACTAGTAAAAAATGTAATTAACATAGTGAAAGAATTGAGCATAACAAACGTTTTTACAATAATATTTCACTAGAAATATTGTAAAACCGTTGTAAAAATATTATGTTAATTACGTTTTTCTGCCAGCGAAGAAAGAAGTCACGAGCTATGGTTGTTAAAAAAATTGAAACAATCAGGTTAGAATTTTATTTTCTAATTAATTCATTGCCGTTTATATACTTAACAATTTAACAAAAAGAAGTGTAGTTTACATGAGAAATATTTACATCTGAAGGTTAATTAAATTTTCATTTATTATTTATATTTATATATTAATAGTAATTAACGTTATGATGTTTACGAGTATCTCAACATTCTTTGGTCCCTTAGTTTTATCGAGGGATGCAAGTAAATTGGTCTTTACATAGTAGGCATGACAATAAATTAATTCATTACAATGATGAAATTTATAACGGGATCGAGCAGATAAATTGAAGGTTTCGAGATCAAAATCACTCGTGGTGTATGAATGTCATCGAAAATTAGTAAAAAGGTAAGAGTCACAGAACTTGCCCATATTATTCTAGCTTCTTGTCTCAAAGATACATCTAATTTTCAAATTAAGCAGAATTTGAGCAAAAGTATGCAGATTATTGGTATAACTGTTGTCAGATATTTATTTTGCTGCTGGATATCACTGTTCTTGCCGTAAGGATAGCAAGAAGGAACTTGTATATGTGTGGAATGGACAATTTGGTTTAATCTGATAAGGAACTCTACGATTTGTAACTATATACAGTCGAGAAGGGAACCCTGGAGTCCAAGAAAGACTCAATCATTAAAAATTCTCCACTAATAAGGCGATAAACTCTTGTACTAAATGGAAAAGAGACATAGATTAAAATTCAACAAAAAATCAAAGGTTGTTTATTTTACAACACTGCCAAATTTTCTCATTTTTACTTGTCAGAACATTATATGACGTTTTCAAAATTGGTTGCTTAAAGTTTAATATGATTTTACTGTACGATGCGATTATCATTACATCAAATTCATTGCGTAATCGTCACGAATATTATAATGGACATGGTTTGATTTTATATATATAAAGATTAAATATTAAAAATCCAGGTAAAGACTACCAGTGTAATTACATGAGAGGAAAAATACTTGAACCCAAAGCCATTTGTGATTCTTTGGTCACGCTGATGGAAATTTCTATCATCATCGTCATTAATTACTATCAACAAGCCCATTAATACAACTCATGGATTTCTTCAAAGCATTTTTGTTCATTAATTACAGTATGATTCAAACAACGCTTTTCTTTGATGAGTGATGCTATACAATCATTGATTAAGTAATTTAATCTTTTATATTCTTCAACGACACCTTCAATAACAATTAAAATCAAACGAAAAAATATCTAATAAGATGGATGGTAGTAGGCTATAATTATAATTTGTAAAAACATAAAAATAACAGAAAATAGAATTTTGCAGTGTAAAAATATTGCAAGGTAGCTTTTCGGTTAACGCTGATTGTTTAACACGGATAGTCGGTGATGGCTTAACTTTCTTGTCAGCTAATTGTAACCAAGTAATTTACAATAACTTGGTGCTTATTAATTCATTGGCTTACGAGTTTACTTTGGCTCTCGCTTATTTCCTTTCCCTTGTACCTAGAAAGCTTCAGCGAACACTTAACAGTTAACAACAGCCTTATATTTACAATCACGATTTTGTTACAATTAGCTTTTGAACAATATTTCGCTAAAGCAAATAATGTTGTTAACGCTCACTTTAAAACGAAAATAGAATAAAAATTTTTCTGTAAAAAAATTTTCGTAGATCGTTTTCAAAAAAAAAATTGTGAAACGATAAATGGATAGAAGAACAATTTGATCATTCAGCCATCACGTCATAAATACACTTAAAAAGAGTATCTATCGGAATTCTGTTTGTAGATTTTTAAAATTTACAAGATACTACGCGCCCTGTAATTTCAAATGGGTTGTTGTTAATAATGATTATATAGATATGTATATATCTTTATTATCTTTATTATTACAGATTCTCATCCTTAATTTTTGGAATTTGGCAAATAAAAATTGTTTGATATGTGTAACGCATATTTTTGATAAAAACAAACCATTCAAACCAAAAAAAAAATATATTTCAACAATTTTAATTTTATAATTATGAATTCCATAAGTTTCAGAAGAGAATCGTTAACCATCAATGGCAAAAAAGTACCTGCGTGTTTACATCCTATATCGGTGCTTCATAGAATCGAGAAAAAGATGAAGAAAAAATCGTCTTTTACTTTTTTTAAGGATGATAAGGTCAACAAATGGCATTCTACTTTGAACTTTTTAGACAAGGAGTACACTACCAAGGAAGCAAGCGTTATTCAATTTAAGGCACACCAGAAGATGGCGAAAAATGCTCTTGATATTATTTTAACTAATTTTACTGAGGAACAATTGGCAGAGCTTGCAAAACCCAATGAACCAGTACCTCCTTATATTGAGCAACTTTTAACAAAATCACGTCTATGGTGGCATCATGAGGTTATGCAAGAGGCAAAGTCATACCAAAGTTATTTGAAAAGATATTGTAAATTTCAAGACCTTGGAATTCCAAAAATATCAAGCCTCATCAATGAAGGAGGAATGCTAGTTGTTATAATTGGAATCAAAAAACGTAGATTTCATCATACCTCGTCAACAAATCTTAATCGTGAGGCAGCTATTGAAGAAGCAGCAAAAACTGCCTTTTTAACATTATATTATGAACATGATAATTCTGAGATGGATGAAATTAAAAGTAGGATGATGGTGTGTGATAATTAATCTTGTCTCCAAATAAAAAATATTGCTATTAATAATTAATGGATAGTAATTTCCGTTTAATTAGTAATGACTTTTTTTTTTTTTTTTTTTTACCTTTCTTTATTAAAATTTGTATTTATGAGAAAATCAAGATTACTTTAATAAACTTTCATTACTTGCATAACTTTTAAGCTTTTGATACTTAGCAATTTCATCATCTAATATTCTACTTGCATGATATGCATCTGGATATGGTTTGTGTAAATTACACCATTATCACCACCATCACCACTATTACTATTATTATTATTATTAATTTTTCAGCTGCTCATTAGTAGTTGATCTTTTTGATGAATCTTCTTCGTCCCAACACTTTTGCATTATTTGTGAATAATAATCAAGTATTTCAGGTAATATTGGTGGTTGTAAACCTCCACATATACCATAAATTAAATGATGATTATGGCCTGCAAATATTTCCCACATTAACATCCCAATGCTGTTTCCTTTGTGTTTTTGTATTATTTTTGCCTCCAAGTATGGATTTCATTTGATGATTTTTCATCAACTGGTCCACATAATCCTAAATCTGTAATAAAACAACCACCTCCTTGGAATAATATATTACCACTATGTAGATCACAATGAATTAATTTTTCATATGTATATGATATAATGATTCACATAAATACCTAATAATTGTAATTCTGTTTTTTATTTTTTAGTATTAATTTGAATATGTTTTTTAAATAATCTCTTAAATCCCTTCTGGTATATACAGTGATTAATAACCATCGCATAATCTCCATTATCCAGAAATTTGTTTATACCGTAGCAAGGAACAATCGTTTGTGATTTAATTTACAATAATTCATTGCCTGAAAATAAACAAAATCAATTAATGTTATATATAATGTAGTATTATTTATTTTGCTACAAATAAAATAAAATTAATTACCTCATCAAGACATGCTTTTGTTGGATTACTTGAATTATTTAACATTTTAATACTACAACTAGAGATCATACATAATTAAATATTTTTTTATTTTCATTGTAATCAATAATTGGTCCTCTTATCCATGCAGTTGTATAAATCCACCTTCAGTTAATTTTGCAACATTTTGAAAATGATCAAAAGGTATCCACTTTAAAATACAGTTTGACAAAGATGAGAACATTTGACATTATTGAATAAAATCATCAACCAAGATACCCAAATGTCAAAAGACTCTTTGACGTGTTATTTTTTGGAAGCAACTTTGAAAATTCGCAAAGTTCATTTTATATTATCACCATCACCTTCTTGATCAACATATCTATATCCTATTTGACCAGGATTTATTTGTTCCCATTGCAGCATTGGATTTGATTATTGTTTTGAAAATTTCCATTTTATATATGATACTACTACATTGAATTGAATGATTTCTCATAGTCCATTTGGAATGCATGAATGAGCCATGAGAGGCATTTTATAAAAAGTGTTTTCTATTCTGCTCACTCGTATGTATTTCCTTATTCAATCGCATTACTAATAAGATGAAATCCAATCAATGTCATTATTCTCAATCTCCACCAGTGGTTGTATGAAAAGAGTCGCTCCAGATTATTCGGAAATATGCAGGGCATTTATAACAATTCTGGAAATCGTTAGTGTACTGCTCAAAAGTATCGCTGGATGATGGATGACTTATCGAATATATTCTTTTCATCATGATCAAAAAAAAAAATTTCATAAATAAAATACATTTATATTATTCATTCACTGTATTATTATATAAATTATATAACCAATAGTATTTTTATTTCTTGAATAGACTTTTTGATATATCATGATCAGAGGAAGGAGAGAGCTAACAGAGTAAATGATCCATCATCATCAAATATATGATCATTATCAAATGACCAAACATTAACTCAAAACCAGAAAAGGCTTCTGATCCGTTTACTTTAACAGGTAAAACTCGTTAGTAATGTTAGTGTAACCTATCTATGGGTATTAGTCAGGTTGTACAGCTCGGGTCATCTATATATATAAGCAAAACCTGGCAAAATTTCAAAATTTTAGAATATCATCTCTAATCCAGGAAATAAAATTTCTTAAATAGGGGATGATCTTCTTCTAAACTATCATCAATAGGGTTGTGTTGGTCCAGTCCGGTCCTAAAATTTAGGACCGTGGTTCAAAGGGACCGGTCTTTTAAAGACCAGCACAACCCTAATCATCAATATCATCAAAGGAAAATTTTATGAAAGAGGTGGCAAAATTTAGGGTAAACAGTATTTAAAATATAGAAAATATTCAAACCACCATAACTTTTTAAGTAATAAATATTTTACATCAACCGTTTCATAGAATTATTCTTTGGCATTTACTATATAAAACTATGAAGGGTTTGAGTCCAAAAGTGCTCTGTGTGTCCATGTGATGGGCTTCAAAAATGCTGAATAAAATTGGTCGGTTTTAGATGACTTGAGCTATTACATTATTTTATGTTACACGCATCTTGATTTTAACATTAATAAGATGAATATGATCACTAGATTATCCCATTTTAATTTTAATAAATCATTTTTGGTAAATTAAATTATTTTGATATCAAATAATAAAAAACTTCTTTCACTTATACTTATTTATAATTTTTATTATATTACAATTAGAGATACATATCTTCAAAATCAATTGAAGAAACTTACATTAAATTATCTCCAATTGAACATGTGCTTAAGAGACCTGATACTTATGTTGGTTCGGTTGAAACTGTGACCGAAAAACAATGGATTTACAATGCCGGAAAAGATAAGCTTGAATATAAGGAAATAAATTATGTACCAGCTTTTCTTAAGATTTTTGATGAAATACTTGTTAATGCTGCTGACAATAAGGTATTGAATTATAATGATAATCATGATCATTAAAATTTTCATTTTTAAAAAAATACTTTATAATTTACAAACTTATTTTTTATACAAACTTATGTAGATGCGAGACCCCTCAATGAATAAAATAAACGTTAATATTGATAAAGATGATGGTCAAATTTCTGTATACAATAATGGTAAAGGCATTCCGATCGAAATCCATAAGGAATTAAATGTCTATGTACCTGAGATGTTGTTTGGTCAACTTATGACATCATCAAATTATAATGATGATGAAAAGAAATTTACTGGTGGAAGAAATGGTCTTGGTGCGAAATCTGCAAATATATTCAGCACTAAATTTACCGTTGAAACTATTGACATGGCCAAGAAAAAACAATATGTTCAGTCTTTTTATGAAAATATGACAAAAACTGATGAACCAAAAATCACTGCTTACGACAAAAAAGAAGAATACACCAAGATATCATTTAATCCAGATTTTGAAAAATTAGGAATGTCAAAGTTGACCAATGACACAATTGCTTTATTAAATAAACGTGTATATGATATAGCAGGAACAGTAAAAAATGTCAAGGTTTTTCTTAATGACAAACAAATCCAAACAAAAAATTTCAAAGAATATGTACAAATGTACTTGAAATCAATTAATGTAACTGATGGTGAACCATCAAAAACTGATGTAGTCCATCAACAATTTGGAGATCATTGGGAAGTTAGCATTGCGCCCAGTATTGAAGGCCAATTTCAACAAGTAAATGATTTCGATCATTGTTTAATGATATTTGACATTATCATTTGTAAATCAAATGTTTACTTTATAGATAGATATTTATTTATATTTTTTCTCCCGTAAAATAACAACAATAATAATAATTAGGTGAGCTTTGTAAATAGCATTTGCACATCAAAAGGTGGCACACACGTTAATCATGTTATTGATCAAATAGTTACAAAACTTATTGAATGCATCGAAAAGAAAAATAAGGATGTTAAAGTTAAAAATTTTCAGATTAAAAATCACATTTGGGTGTTTGTTAATTGTTTAATTGAAAATCCTGCTTTTGACTCTCAAACTAAAGAAATTATGACATTGAAACATCACTCCTTTAGACCAAAATGCAGAATAGATGATGATTTTATTAAAAAAGGTATACAAACATACCTTAGATTATATTGTTAGTCTTTTATAAACTTTATTTATCTCATAACATTTTATTTTTCCTTAATAAAAAGTGATGAAAACGGATATAGTGAAGAACATTATGAATGATGTTACATCAAGGCAAATTCAGGAATTAAAGAAAACAGACGGGAGAAAAAAAAGTTTGCAAGTATTTTTTATAATAATTTTAATTATTTAAACATTATGATACTTTAATTTTTAATCATTTGATTTTTTTTAAAAAAAAAAATTTCAACAATTGTTAAACCTTTTGTTGTTATTATTATTATTGCTATCACTATTATTATAATTTATAGGATCCATGTTCCAAAATTAGAAGATGCCATAAATGCAGGTACCAGTCTTGCTTCGAATTGTACACTTATCCTTACTGAGGGAGACTCTGCAAAAGCACTAGTTTTGGCGGGCTTTGATGTAGTTGGAAACAGTAATTGGGGTGTTTACCCTCTTCGAGGTAAACTTTTAAATGTACGAGATGCATCAATAAAGCAAATATCTGAGAACAAGGAAATTCAAGCAATAAAGCAAATTCTTGGTTTGCAACATGACAAAGAATATAATTCAGTCAAAGACTTACGCTATGGAAAACTTATGATTATGACTGACCAAGACCATGACGGTAGTCATATTAAAGGCTTGATCATCAATCTTTTTGATCATTTTTATCCATCATTGCTAAAGAACCCCGATTTTCTTTGTGAATTTATTACACCTATTGTCAAATGCAAGAGGAATAAAGAAGTTATATCTTTTTTTACGATTCCCGAATATCAGAAATGGAAGAGTCATAACGATGACGGTAAAGGATGGGAAATTAAGTATTATAAGGGTCTTGGGACCAGTACATCTAATGAAGCAAAAGAATATTTCAAAAATCTTGGGAAACATGTTAAACTATTTAAACCAATGGATAATGAAGATCATCAATTGGTTGAAATGGCATTTGCTAAAAAGAATGCCGATGAACGTAAAAATTGGATTAAAAGTATAGAGGATGGAACTTATATTGATTATACACAGCATGAAATTAGCATCAAGGATTTTATCAACAAAGAATTGTCTTTATTCTCACTTGCTGATAATGTCAGGTCAATTCCTTCGGTAATTGATGGTTTGAAACCTGGACAACGTAAAGTTTTATTTGGTTGCATTAAAAGGAATTTGGTCAATGAGCAGATAAAGGTTTCACAGTTGTCTGGTTACATTTCTGAACATTCTGCATATCATCATGGTGAAGCTAGTCTTCATTCTACTATAATTGGACTTGCACAAGATTTTGTAGGTTCAAACAACATCAATTTACTTGAACCTATAGGGCAATTTGGTAAAAGAAATGATGGAGGTAAAAGTGCAGCTAGCGCTCGTTATATTTATACTAGACTCGCACCATTTGCGCGTTTTATTTTCCATCCAGATGATGATGTTTTACTTGACCATTTGAATGAAGATGGGCAAACTATTGAACCAAAATGGTATGTCCCAATCATTCCAATGGTCCTTGTGAATGGTGTAGACGGTATAGGAACAGGTTGGAGTACCAATATTCCCAATTTTAATCCCAAGGATATTATTCAAAATTTAAGAAGAATGATTAATGATGAAGAATTGATTCCAATGCATCCTTGGTATCGCGGTTTTTATGGTAGAATACAAAAAATTGACGAAAATAAATATATATCATATGGTATTATTGCTAAAGAAAATAAAGCACATGTACTGATTTCCGAATTGCCAGCTTGTAAATGGACCGAGGATTATAAGTCAAAAGTTCTTATTGATCTCATGGAAAATGGCTTTATCAAGGTATGGTTGGCTTTTTCTTGATAAATAAATTTGTATTGTAATTATAGCTATATCAATAACATATTGTCATTTTAGAATATCGTTAGAAACAATTGCACGAATGAAAGGGTTGATCTTGTGATTGAATTAACTAATAAACAAATGGAAAAGGCTGAAAGTGATGGTCTTGAAAAATTTTTTAAATTAACAAACTCAATAACAACATCAAATATGATGTGCTTTAATTCAAATAATAAATTAGTCAAGTATGAGTCGCCAGAAGAGATATTAAAAGAATTCTATTCAGTACGATTAAATCTTTATATAAAGAGAAGAGTAAGTTGGATGTTTATTTATTCTAAATATTTTTATTTATTGATTTCTAATAAGTGTATATATATATATATATATATATATATTTAGTTGCATTTAATTGAAAAATTACAACAACAAGTTAATAAAATGGAGAATAAAATTAGATTCATTAATATGAAATTAGAGGGCGGAATTAAATTTGAAGGCTTGAAGAAGTTGGAGATTGTAAAGCTTCTTGAGTCACATAAATTTGACAAAATATATAGTGATGAAATTATTAAAGGTTATGACTATTTAATGGGAATGACTTGTTGGACTTTTAGTAAAGAAGAGGTAAATTAATAAATAAATCATAACAAATTATACTGTATATTTATTAATTATATTTGATGAATATATTAAATATAGATTAATAAATATGAAGAGAAGAAGAAGATTTTACGTGATGAATTCGCAGTAATTTCAGGAATGTCGGCCAAAGAACTTTGGATCAAAGATCTGGATGCATTAGAAAATGCATGGGATAAATTTTTACAATGTAATTCTTTAGATGTCGACAAAGAAAATCGTATGAAATTTCCAGGTATAACCACAAAAGCGCGTCCAACATAAGAAAATTTGAATCTGTACAAATTAAAGTTAATTCATAGAAATTTTTCATAAAATAGATTGGACCAAGAAAACTAGAAAATTAATTTATTGACTCAAATTATTATCAAAGATTAAAAAAATAAGATTTTTATTCTGTATAATAAATGAATACTTTATTGAACAAGGAGACGATATAGATAGGGAAATACCTCATTATTATTTCTGAAAGCGGAGGTTTTCTATGTGCCGATGAAGCTGTGCGTTCAATAAAAGGCAGGCAGCATGCGTGGTTTGCATTTTTTCATATGGGAATGATTTTCTCAACTAATGTATTATTTATAAAACAATCATCGCTCTTGCCATTAACTTTTTCTTTGACGTTGTTATATTATCATCATTATCCAAACATATTTTCAATGAATTTTTTTTATAATCAATTTTAGTTGTAATGCGATTTACTATTATTTTGAAATATAAGAAAATGTTTTTTATTTCCACCAGAACATTAATAAAACCATGCATTGTTGAAAATTTTTTATGCATTACGGCAAATTTGACATTGCGATATATGGGCCTAATACTAATGCTTTTACAGTAAAGTAGTTCCATTATGCCGCCTCCTCAATATTAAAAACACAATCTAATCCGTTATTTCTAAATTAACTTCACTTTTCGCTGTTTATGGCCATAGCTGATAGAAGGGTTTGAATAAACGTGAAGGTTGTTAAAAAAACAATATTTTTTAGAATTTGATCCATCAATCATGATCCTGAGGTATCTACAGTATATGATAAAAATATCTAGCTAACTGATTAAATAATTCTCATATTAGAGCAGATCTTGATCATTATGCGATTTTACCTTGCTTTCATTTTCTATTATTAAATACTGCACATAGTATTCAAAATTAAACATGAATGTACCTTTAACACTAAAGATCAAAAGATGAATTGACCATAAAAAATTATATACTGGGTCAAATTGTAGGCCATGCGTGTGATTTCCATTCTACCGAAACATGGGATTTCAAGAAATGATCAAACCACAATGATCTTGTAAAGTGAAATAAGTTGAGAAATTTATTTATTAGAAATCTTAAATATAATAAATAATAATTATAATTATTTAATATTTAGAGAATTAAGCCGTTGGTAAAAACGGTCGCTTGTAAGTAGGTAAATAGTATTATTATAGTATGATTTCTTTAATTTTTTAAAAAAAAATAAAATTATAATTGTAAATATATATATTGCGACAGCAACCTATTGTTTAACGCAAAAATTATTGTGAAAAAAGAAATAACTGATATTTGGCCGATAATTTTGGTGCGTATTTTACTAAAGGAGTAGTTAAAGTTGAGTATTTAAAAAACTAAATTTGTAATTTTTTAAAGTCGAAAAAAAAAAATTATGCAAATAAATCCAAGAATTTTTTTATGCAAGTCGTGAAATTTGAAGATATTGTTCGATTGACAAGAATTTTTTATATGTAAATTGTTTTTGAATTTAAAAATAAACTTTCTTCTTCGATTATTTGCTCGCTTTAAATAATGTATGTATATATTTTTTTTTGTTTTAGAATCAGAAAAAATTTTTACTGATGCAAGCATTTACAATTTATTAGTTTTTTATGGTCTTCACTTTATTTCTGTTAGCTAACATTGTAATAGCAATACAGGATATTACAAATCCTATGAATTTAAAAAAAGCTGAACGAGATATTTGTTGTTCTTCTTCTGGTGTTCTAAATGATGAAAAAATTCTTCTCAAGTCGGGAAATGCCATTTGGTATATTAATTATATTGATATTAACATTTAATGTAATTTCCAGTTGAATTTTTGGTTTTGTGCAACTGAATCTTTTTTAAAATGACTATTCAAAAAAAAATTAACTCATTTCCCGACATCTCGAGAAAAATTCTTAGAGCAAATTATCCATCAATATTATCGTCATCAAACAGTAACAACAAAACAAGTCAACAACCTGATCTTAGACAATTGATAGAAGTTTTATTAGCAACTAATCTTACCACAGACAACACTTTTGAAAAAGATTTATTGGAATTGCTTTTATCAGGATGTCAAACCATAAATTGCACCGATGAACAATTAACTTCAAAATTTAGTAAAATCATTTTTAATTTTACTAGTAAACGTATGGTGAGTTTTTTTTTTTAAAAAAATTGTTAAATTTTTTAAATTATTATTCTATTTTATTAATATCTTTAATTTTATTTAAGATACATCTTAATGATAATGATAGTTTTGGTGTATATCCGTTAAAAATTATTCTACCATTTTTGATCAAAGCATATTCACACGCTACACAATCATCACAAATTGTAGATATTTTAAGAGCGTTAAGCCAAATATTGTACGAAAATGGAGTTAATTGTCAAGAGGTAAACAATATTGGTGAATAATTGATTGATTCATTAATTGATTAATATACCTATACGTTTAGTAAACTTATTTTTCAAAAATCAGTTTCATGAACAACTCTTACAAATCCTTTTACCACTTGCGAATCAAGAAAATCCAAATCTAGAAACTCGCCGTATGGCAATTAATGGATTAGGAAATTTATGTTTCCGTAGTGGCAATAAATTAAAAGGAAAATACAAGAATATTTATCAAATCCTTTTTACCAACCTAACGTTGGACCGTTATGATTTAACGATGGATAGTAATACAGCTTTGCTCAAGGTAATATTTTTTTTAATTGTTATTTTATTTTATTTTGTTGTCAGTTTTATTGATCTTCTTGTTAATTTTGTGGAATAAAAAGATTATTAGTAGCACTTTTCGCGCTTTACAATTTGTTGTAAATGAAGACAAGAATGTTTTATCTGAACCATTCAATGAAACAATTGATGTGATTAAAAAATATGTTTATTTTAATTTTGTGGAAGGAAAAAATCAAAGAAAATTTAATGGTGAAAATAAAGTTCAACTTAAAACTTTTTCCACACAAAAATTTTTTTTGTTCATTAATAATCTTTTTTAAACCAAAATCCATTAGTGTAGATCATTCAAGAATAAATAATGGCGAAACATTTAATAATATTAGTGGTGGTAGTGGTAATAATAATAATAATAATAAATATTATCATCAAGGTAGATCATCAACCAATAGACATTCTCGTACTATATCAATTGGTCATTCATGGTTAAGTTCTGATTCTGAGATTTCTGACGGAGAATATGCAAATTCTCGTAAAAGGTAGCAATTATATTTATAAATATAATAATAACAATATTAATATTAATATTAATTTTAAAAAAAAATTTTTTTAAAAAAAATAAGGAATGAGGATTCACGTATTAGATTAAATGCTTTAGGATATCTTCAAAGTATAGGCAAGGTAAAGTTTATCACGTATAAATATATATCTTTTGTATAAATATATTCAATTAATTATTTTATTTTGTTAACTAGGCATCACAAAAATTATTGTATCCATATTGGCATAAATTTTTTCCAAACATACTTTCATCAAGTACATTAGAACCTTCTTTAATAAGTTTGGTTGCATATGAGCCCATTCAAACTGTCCGTATATCAGCATGTTCCACCATCACGGCAATGATTGATGGATCAAAAAATTATTTGTTGGCTGCTGATGATAGGTTAGGAAAAAAAAAATAGAAAATAGAAAATGAATAAGCAGTGAAAGTTATTTTGTTAATAATACCGATTTCTTTTTTTTTCCAAAAAACATTTTTAATAATAAAAGAGAGTCAAAATCATCTTTTACACCGCTTTCCATTAAATTAGGTGTAATTGTACGTGAAATTCATTCTGGGTTGCTTCAAATAATCTCCACAGAGACTCGACCAATTGTCCTTGTTCAACTTTTAAAAGTTGGTTGAAAAAATTTATTATTTTTACTATTACTACTACTACTTATCGATAGATATATTTATATTTTTTTTTAAATTAATTAAAATTTTTTATAATTATCCTAGTGTTGTAATGTTTTAATAAATAACGTTGCGTACGATAGATTATCATCTGGATACATTTCTAGGATTTATTATTCAACAGTAAAATTTCTAAACCATGAAGGTAAATTTTTTTAAATCTTCAAAATAGATTAAATAAAATGATTAATTGATAAAAGATTTTCTAGATTTATCAGTCAAGACTGCAGTAATCACATTGTTCTCTTCAATTGTTGACAATAAGTCATGTATTGATGAGGTTGATAAACTTATACAAACCAATATTATTAATGAAAATAATAACAACAACAGAAATAATAACAAGGTTGATTCGATGAATTTAATTAATTACTTTATCAAACTTGTTGGAGATCTTGATCAACCAGCTTCTGTGAGAATTGAAGGTTGGGGGATTTTGTGTGCATTTGCACGCACTCATTTTTCAATAATAAGGTGAAATATAAATATTCTTTGTCAAACAAAATGATTTAAATTTAAATTTATTATTATAATAATAAGTCTGTTTGTAAAATATTATTAAAGTCCTTTATGGAAGAACATCAATCAACTTATAGTTAAAGATTTAGTCAGTGAAGATTTAAATGCTAAAACAGCATCCATGGCATTTTTGGTTGAATATGCTAAGGCATTAAGTTCTACTGATGGAATTAATAACAATGTTACAGAGAAAGAAGAAAGAGAAGAAGACATAGGAAAAGAAGGGAAAGAATTGGTAAACATATATTTATTATAATTTAATATTTTATTAAATTAAAATTAAAATATTTAAAAATGGAATATATATTAGATTGAAAAAGTTCAAGATTTTTCAAAAGTAACATTTGAATGGTGGATAACTTTATTAACACAACATATTCAAAAATCTTCAGTTGATAAATGTCATGCATTAAGAACCCTTACTTGTGATTTTATTTCATATATTCCATCAAATATATTTACGGCTTTTCCTGTAAGCTTTAATATTAATTTATTCTAATATTATATATGTATTAATAATCAAATTAACAAAAAGCCACTTATCATTTAGTCAGAAATTAGAACCTTTTGCACTGAAGTTATGTTAAAATTTTCTAAAGACGAAAGTTCAAGTGTTAAAGCTGCTGCATGTAGATGTCTGGGGGTGCTCGTCATGTTTCCTTGCTTAAATCAGGTAAACAATTATAATAATGATTGTAGAAGTGTTGATTTTGATTATAATGTTGATTAAAATTTTAAAATTTGATTTTTTTTTATTTGATGGTTTAAATTATTTTATATTTTTATTGATTTTCTTTTTTTTTTTAAAAAATAAAGGATTTGAAATTTATTTCTGATATGGTTACAATAATAATAAGACATATATCAGATACAAATTTAATGGTAAAAATTAGAAGCAGTTGGGCTTTAGGAAATTTATGTGATACAATGGTACTATCAAGGTTTGGAATTTTTTTTAAAGAGAAATATCATCAAATTATTTTAAAAATTTATTAATTCAATTAATCAATTTTAATTGGTTGATTAGGAAATCAAATGATAAAAATAATAATTTAGATAAATTTTTAACAAATGAAATGTGTAATAAAATTGTTAAAGCAGGATTAAGTGCTACAAATGACAAGGAAAAGGTAAAGAACAACCGTTTGTTTATTTATTTAATAATCTTAAATATATTATTCTAATTTTATTTCAATAGGTGAGAATAAATGGAGTAAGAATATTAGGTAGCATTATTAATGTTGGATCAAGTGAGTTTTTGGAAAAAGAGGAGAATAGTTTGGTAAAAGAAGCAGTTTTATCATTGATTAAAAATTTTGAAACTGGATCATTAAAGGTATTTTATTTTCTCTAAATAAAACAAGCAAAATAAATAATTCTTTTTAAAGCAAAATATTATATAAATATAAATATAAATATAAATATATAATTTGTATTTTATAGTTAAGATGGAATGCGTGTCATGCAGCGTCAAATATGTTAGAAAATCCCAAATTTCCAATTGGGAAGAAATCTAACGAATGGAGTAATCAATTATATGAATCATTAATAAGAGTTGTGATGAAATCAGAAAATTTTAAAGTTAGGATTAATGCATGTTTAGCATTGTCGGTACCAGCAACAAAAGAAAAATATGATAGCAATGGTGATGGAATAGAAGGAAAGATGTATATAAAAATTTTTGATGCAATAGTAAGTTCATTAGAGAATATTGATAATTTAGCTGGTACAGGATTTGGAGAGGTGAAATATCAAGAACAATTAAAAAATCAGGTAAATACATTAATTAAATATTTATCATTATTGCTATTTTTTTGATATTTATTTTGAATTTTTAACTGAAAACAATAAATTCTTTATATTAGTTAATTGCAACTTATCAACATTTGATTAGCTTCTCAGATCAAGATGATGATCAAAAAATAGTCAATTCATTTATTGAAAGATATAACAAATGGTCAAATGATAGAAAGAAAGTTATCAAGGATAAAAGTGAAATTATAAATTAAGGATTTGAATCAATTGTTTGTTTATTTATTTATATATAATTAATTTTTAGTAATTTAATTAATAAAAAACTAGTTTATTAACTATTAATAACTATTAGTAACCATTAATAAAGCAATCAAGTTGATGACTACAATATTAAATGATTTCCACATGTAGGGTGAATCTCTGTTTCTTAAAATAATTTTACATTTACCAGGAATGTTAATTGTACCAATAGATAGATTGGAATGTTTTCCTAAATTATCGATGATGATTTTCATCATAGATTGATGAATCTATAATTTTACTATTACAGTCAAACCTCGATAAGCCGAACTTTTGGAAAATAACAAAAATGGAATTGGTTTATCAAAATTCGGTTTATGATCAATTTTGCATCGTTATAAAGCGAAAATCGGTTTATAGTGGGTTCGGCATATCGAGGTTTGACTGTAATAAAAAAAATAAGATCTTCAACAAATTCGAATATATGTTATTCAAGCAAAGTGGGAATCATTACAAGTCATAAGTTTATTTTCACGAATCGTTTTACAAGCCATAAATTTTAATTTATAAATAATAAGTTTTTGTTTCATGTTATTATCGTATGGTTATATGAAATCTAGCATATATATAGAGAGCCAAAGAGAATTTGATGCAATAGGATCACTTGTGTAATTTTAATACATGGTACTTGTTGTACGTGAAAATGTATTTTTTAAAAAAAAGGTTATAGGGCATTCGTTGCTTTTGATATATATATATAACAAAATCCGTTTCTGTTACAGGTGCTAAAATCAAAAAGACTATTTGAAACTATTTTTTGCGTCACTTTATCATTACGAACAATAAGCTTGCATGCACCATTATACAGAATTTGTGCCATGGAAAGCACACATATATCCCAGTGTCGAATGATCCAAAATCTTCGACATATATAAAGAATTATTCAAGATATTATCATTTATTGATTAAAAATAATGTTCAAAGAAATCGATAAAGTTGACAAAAATCAAATCGGAACAAAAAAAATACCTGATAGAAAAGATAAATTATTTACTAAACGAAGTGGCCAAGTGTTGAAAATTCAGTGCGTGATGTTACGTTGCAGATATTTTCCAAAGGAGCGAGAGGGGATTTAGAGCAAAACAAAGTATCAAGAATCTGATTGGTTTCAAAGGAAAATCCAAGAGATTTATAATGATCTTAATAATAAAAAACTTATTGAAGCAGGAGAATTTCCTATTATCTGCTTTAAAAACCAAGCCCCAGAAGAAGCTTTATTACCAGTTTTTGATGCTCAAAAAACACTGAAATTATTTATTTAATAAGAAAGTAGATTTATTTTAATTGCCACTAATTCTACTCGCAAAACTGAAAAAAATGATCAGACCCTTTCTTTACACTACATATCGGGTAGAGAGCTTGCTCATTTGGAAAAAAGTTACGAACCAAGTGATTTCCGGCCAACTCTTGAAGGTTATAATATGTACGGCAAACCAATTTACAAGAAACCAAGAATTAGTTTACGAATGTTGAATGTAATGCGAAAGAATTTAGACCATCTACAAAAGGATCCTACCAGCCTATTAAACCCGAGAAACGACCACCTAGACTTAAAAAACCTAAACGTCCTAAATATGAACGAGATGCTCCTAAAAGGTATCGTTCTGGAGAAGATTTTTTGATGGGGAAAGATTTGATGGGTAGGGTGAATTATTTATTATTAACATTATATGCGCCAGAAAATTCAGAAATCGTTAGAAAAGTAATTGAGACCTGGAGAAAGGTAAATTGTACAAATTTATAAATTTGCATTTGTATATATGAGATGTATATTTACATGTAAAAATTATCATCACTGTTATTACTAGGAAAAACAATTAGAAAAAGAAAGAGCAAACCATCACTACCTTTCTAATATATAAATACTATAAATATAATATAAATTTCTTTTCTTTTTGTTCAAAACATGCCACAAACCGATAAACCAATATTATTATTACTATTTGTTATAAATACAATTTAATTAATTCATCACTGACACCAGAAGGTGTCAAAACACCAAGATCTGTACACAACAAAGTGATATATTCAGGTGGTGTATAATCTACTGTTGGATTAATAACTACGAAATTTTCAACTTCTTTTTCTTCTTCTTCACCAATTTTTGTCTCATCATCATCATTACTTTCTCCTATTTTTTTTACATGGATTTTGTTTTCCAGATCTGGAAATGTTAGTAAATCTGGTGTGTGAGTTGGTAGATCGTATTGGTTAAGTGGAAATATTCGAACAAATTTATAGCTAGAAAGAGGGAGGGAAATGAAGAGAAGTAAGAGTAGGTTGGGGAAAAGGAGAAAGGGAAAAGGAGGCGAAGTTAATAAAAATACCATAAATAATAAATTTAAATTGTTACCTTTCAATTACTGCATAAAATGGCTTATTAGCAGCTTTGGCTACTATTGCTAATTGATAAGTGCCAATCTACACCACATAATATCATAATGTACATTGATATTTAACATAAAATATATTGACACCTATAATATAATTATAAAATGTTATTTACCGCATTAATTAATCCGCCATTTTCTACAACTCCCTCAGCACCAACAAAAACAGCATCCACTTTATCAATAATATACCCAGCAGCTGTGTCGAGTATTACTATTGCTGGAATACCATACTTTCTCAATATCTTAGTTGTCTTGATTCTAATCAATCAATCAATCAATCAATCAATTATTTATTTATGGCAATTTAAAAATTTCTCCGAGATAAAAAATTATTAATTCGTTTTTTTACCCTGAAGAATAAGGCCTAGATTCAGTCACATAAACTTTAAATCTTTTTTTGTGTGTAGCAGCAGCTCTTTGTAAAACTAACATCACCACCCGAGAATATCCATGAATTAATATTGTCTATCGATGATGATGGTGATGATGATGATGATAATTAGGGATATAGATACATTTGTATGCGTGTATATGGATAATTGCATATAAAAATATATAACAATAATAGTAACAATAATATAATAATACCGCATCATCTTTAATAAATTGTACTCCCAATTCAGCAATTTTATGGCGAGCTGCTGTAGCCTTCTCTACCAAAACCTTGCCACTATTCATCAAATGCTCTTTACACGCTTCAAAATTCTAATTAGATTAACAATAACATATGAGTGATATATATTATAAAACATATTTCACATAAATATACATTCACCATTATATATTATTTTCACACATCCACATAATTGGATATACTTAACAGTAACATCATGTGACGTCCTTGTAACAAATCTTAGAAATAAATCTGCTCCTGCTGACAAAGAAATCGAATTCTTAACTGTTGATTTCAGTAATTGACTTGCATCTTTTAACGACTCCATAAACTCTGATAACGTTGTTGCTGTATATAATAATAATAACATTATTATTATCATTATTATGGTTTATTGTTACCGTAGCAATGCGTTTAGTACCTTTGCTATGCTTAATTAACTCTACTAATGCTTCTATAGCGGCAATTGGCATAGAAACATCCTGATCCCATACAATTATCCAATCAAATCAGTTTTCAAAGTGTGAGTGAGTGAGCAAGTAAAGGAACAACAATTATTAATATTAAAAATTAAAAATAAATTCTAACCGGATCATCTTTTAAAAACTTTTGATAACACATTACAATATCAAACTGTTCCTCTTTAACAACATTCTTCTCAATGCTATGATTATTTGAAACCGCTAAAGAGTATATATAAATGATAATTATAATAAGTAATGTGATTTTAATAGTAATAATGATAATAATGAGGATGATAATAGTAGAGTAGTATGGTTACAAATTATCAATGATTTAATTACCTGCGTTCATTTTGATTTCTTTTTGACAGAATAAAAAAATCAACAAATTTTTTTTTTTATAAAATGGCTGTTACACGATAACATGAAAAATAACATTTAATTGTAGATATAATTTCAATTCCCACATATAACATTTTTAAAACCTTTATGTATCAATGATTCAGCAAAGCTGTAATAAATTAACAAATTACTGCATAAAAGGGTAAATCCTAATTTAACGCATTAATATGACTAATAATTTAGTCAAGTGACTTATTGGGGTTATGCACTCAGTCCCGATAGAAATATTCGAGCTTTAATAAGAGAACCTTCGGATAGTCGTAAAGTAAGCAGTTCACAGTCTTACTCAACTAATAAAAGCACAGCATCATCTTTTATGTATATGATGGAAGTTTAATTTCATCAGTTGATTTTATGCAAGTGATTTCTACTCATTCAAAATCAATAATTTATTATAAGAATTTTCAAAGCTTGGAAATCTCAATATTATATGATTATTCTGATATTTGGATGATAGCACAAGAACAAATTTATATTCTATTATTTTCAAATATTAATTTTAAATTTTTATAATCACACATTTGTTTTAAGCTTTTCAAATCCATCAAAATCAATGGGAAAACTCTTAAAAAGATTTATTTGACAATTCATGGTAAATCTGATGACATTGAGTGCCCATCTGACACATGCTGGCTTGACCTGGCTATTCAAGGACCACAGTTAATTAATTGATTCAGATTTGCAGAAAGTTTTGAATAGCCATTTCTTACAAGACAAAGATACTATGCAACATATTGCAATCTAATACCATTTATCTTCTTTGTTACAAGTCTACTTTGAGATTTTCTAAAAAAAATTAAATGTATTTTCTTCAAGTTCATCATTCGAGTACAAATTACTTTGATTAATAAATAGTGTTGCATAAATTTACATTAATTTGTGTTATATTAATTTATTTTTTTTTATCTGGAAAAAAATTATTATTTTAGCTGTTTCTTTAGTGGTTTTTGACTAATAGTCTCTGCTGTTGCACCAGAGGTCTACTCTTAGATTCCAAAGTATCACTTTTGTTACCAAGTTTCATAGATTGATTTCAATTTCATTTACATCGTATTTTGAAATAACAAAACGCAGTATGTAGAAATTGCATATCGTATTTTTTAAAAAAAAAGACATGTAGAAAGTGCGTATTGTACTTTTTACTAGGTACGGTATTCACCTTGAATACTCGCTTGCATTCAGTACGAGTTAAATTGTTGATCATCTTTTCAACTATAAAAGTCCAAACTAAATTCCGCTCAGGAAAAATTATTTTCTGCTCAGAAAAGAACTGTATTATTAATATCATCATACAAAAATTTGAGGTGATGTAAATAAGTGGTGGTATACCATTTTTCAAATTGGGTACTTTCTCGATATATATCCAAAGATCGCGTAAAAAATTGGCGCAGCATTGATAAATTAGGAAAATCGTAAAAACAGCCCTAACAGCAAAATCTCGATTTTGAGTTAATATTATGATAACAAGTACTAACCAATTACTCTATGTTTTGACCAAACAACTGATACTTGGCGTGTTATTATACAATACAATATAGTAATTATTAGTGTCCATAATTTTGCAGTCACCTCGTCAAATGTTGTATTAGTATCTTCAACAGTATCGTGCTAATTAATATACAAACGATGTGAAAAATGAAGTATTCAATTATCTTTAACAAATAATTTGAAAAAAAAAAAAAAGAATTACCAAAGCAACAGCTTGTAATGTAGCAATATCATAAACACCAGCATCTGCAAGACACCAATTGGAAATAAAATTTACGTGTTTAGCCCAAATCTTTTCTTATTGCTTTGAATGCTTATCTGTTGCAAAGTCATAGCATCCATTAAACCTTTCAGTGCAATACCAGGTTGTGTTATTGGAATGCAAAAAATCCTCCACATACCTATCACGTGATAAAATACAAATAGATTTTTTATTTTCGGTTTCATGAAGCACTTATGGTGTTATTTTCTTTTTTTTAAAAGGTTTGAGTATTAAAATAGTTTTTTGAGTTTAAAAACAGTTTCAGAGTTTCGAAATAGTTTTATTTGAATAAAAGTTCAATCATTTAATGTAATTTGAATACTAAAATTAATTATGAACGGTTGGAGTGATTTGAATAATTCTTGTTATTATTCGAATAGAAACTCCAATTAAAATAATTATATAAATTACACGAGCGTAAAAAAAACTTTTTTATATATGAAAAATTTCATTCATCCTTACATCTCCAAGAGTAATCCTTTTTTTTGATATTCTTAATAAAAAAATGTATAGATATGTTCTTTGACATTTGTTCCATAACGCAAAATAAAAAAATATTATCCGTTTTTTTATCCAAACTGTGACCGCTGATCTTTAGATTTATTGACGGATCGTCAATTAATATTAGTACTGACAAGTCGACCCAAACGAATTACGGGGGTAGTTACATGTTAGTAGTATTAGGTAGATTCCAACATTTGGATCTTTATATAATATATAAATGTTAAAAAAAAATAATAATTAAAATTATTTTGATAGCACAAAAACAAATCAAATAGTTAATCATTGATTTCAAGTGGCAACATTAACAACCAACACATTCATATTCAATAATTTTTTGCGAATCTATCTATTTGGATGAGAATATTTATTAAATGTCAATATTCCTTCCTTATGCTATTGGTGGAAGCATCCCACTTTCAAATATTGAATCCTATAAAGTATTTATTTATTATTATTATAGACCATTTCTATCAGATTTGATTAACATTAAATAAAACTTTACCAAAAAAAAAATCTTTCAATAATCTTTGATCGTAAGGCTGTTGATGTAATTTTTTTTTTTTTTATAATCTAATGAAAAGGAAGGACTTCTACCTTTTTACAATAAATTACTTGGTAAAAAATCGACAAAGGTGGTCTACTAAAAACAAGATTTATGTATTTTATGTTATGTATGAGGTTTATAAAGGCGATCCAGATTATTTTTTTATTATTCATGTAAACCTTTTTTTTTAAATTTTAAAAAGGAGAGAGAGAGAGTAATGAATAAGAAAAATGAATAAAAATTTTTTTATTCAATAATTCAATCATTACTTATATATTAAATCATAATATATTTAACTATTTAATCATGCTAGAGTGGTTCACCAGTTCTTGCACTTGTTGGATAGATTGGTAATAAAGCTGCGGCAACATTTCTTCCTTCTTCTGTTAGAACATTAAATGTTGATGCAGCATTATCCTAAATAATCAATATCATTAATATTATTATAATATACAATCGTGTAAAGAATTATGCCACCTCCATCATTAATAATTACCGAATCCATAGCATCTAATTGCATTCCTAAATCATATATATAATTTTTTATTTCTAAAGGAATTGGAACAAACCTTTGACCAGTTCCAAATATTAAAAGTTCTATGTATTATTATAATATTAAATAAATAAATAAATAAATCAATATATATATATATTAGAGATATATTATATACACATAAGGGATTAGAAAAAATTAATTTTAATTACCAGGTTTTGGAATTACAATTTCAAAAATCTTTAAAAAATCTTTATTCCATTCATCAAAAACACCTTTCCCACCACCATTAACCTTTTGGGGTACATCCCATAAAAAAAGATTTTTATTTAAAATTAAGATTGGACCTCTAATTTTTAAGTTATTTGAAGTGACAAAACCATGTTTAGTCAATCGATTAATTAATATCGATGAACGTGATATTGAATCATCAAACATATTTGTAAATGGTACAGAAGACGTTGAATTTTTTTGTTGGCCATGGTTAATTGATGAACTGTGATATAAAGAAGAAGAATATTTATAAAGATCTTTAATATTTTTTGTTAAATATAATAAGGAGTGAATATTTTGTAGAAACATCTTATCAGTGAACATCACAAGGGGATCAAAATGACACAATTATAACGTGACCCCTACAAAATTGCCAAAAACTGGGTAAAAAATTCTCGGAGCAAAAATTTTTTCGATCACTGAGCAAATACTAATGCCATTTTTGGTAGTTGTCAATCTATCAATTATCTTATCAATCAATCTTATCGATTTTTATTCTTAATATATTAATAATGGTTGACAGCAACGCAAATGGTATTGACGAATCAGCAATTGAAACATTAACAGAACTGGTAACCTTGATCCTTTGCTTTTTTATTCCTGCAATTGCAACTACACTTATATATTGTATAACGTTTTATTAATCTATTTTTTAATCATTAGGGTTTTAATAAAGATCAAGCACTTGATGCTTTACTGGTAACCATTCTTCCATTCTCATCACTCTCATTGTTTTCCATTAATAACTTATATTAACTAATGTTAATTCCAATACTTCAATTCAAAAAAGAAACATAACAACATTGTTGATAGAGCTGCTGATTACCTTTATTCCAATACAGATTCAGATGTAAATTTACCCGAGAATAATAAGAATAAGAATAATAAAAATAACAGTTACAATGATTATTGCTTATTAATAATATTGATCAGTCTAATTGGGATTTTGTTTAGATTCCTAACTTAACTTCATTAACTTCATCTGATCCAAATAAGCAAAATAATTGGGGAGATTCTGCAACCCCCAGAAACAATGACGGTGCAAATTATATTCTATTATATTTTGTGGATATATATATATATGTAATATATTAATTATATTTATTATAATAACATTAGAATGGGATCCAGATGTAAAGACTGCTATTGCTGCTTCTATGGCAGATCAAGAGGAGCAATACAGGAGAGCTGTGCATGCAAGTTTGACCAATTCTGCCTCACCTAATCCGATGGAAACTTCATATTCAAATTCAAGATATCAATCATCCTCTGATAATTTCGATTCTAAAAATTCTGCTGTTGTTTTATATAATAAAGATAATTTTAGAAATATTGATAATTTTAGTAATGATATAAATAATAATAACAACAATAATAACTACAGCAGTAGCAGCAGCAACAACAACAATAAGGTATTTAATTAATTATCTTTTTAGTTGATATAATTTTTGGTTTTTTTTAACATCTAATGTACATTAGAATGGTGATAGTTCTCAATCAAACAATTCCGATCAAAATTATATTAATGGATGGGGTGATTTTATTGATCCGGAACAACCAATGAAACGACAGAAGTTAGATACAACGTATTTATTTTCATTCTCAATTTTAATTCTTTGTTTTTTAAGTTTTTAAAAATTTTATTAGAAAATTAATTATTCCTTTCCTCTTCTTCAAATTCTTTTCTGATAATTAAAGACCTCTTGGATTAAGACCTACATTTGATTCACATTATGTAACTTCAATTATTCAAGCTTTATTTCATATTCCAATAGTTCGTTTATCTATATTGAAATTTACACCAACAAGAGAATCTTGGGGTGAAGTGGAAGGTTATTGGAAAGGAAAAGCTCAAAATTTATCGATTACAGATGATGACTATTATGGTGATCCTGAATTTAATAATGACAGAAAATATACTTTAATATGTATGTACTTTTCACTAAATTCACACATATTTTCTTTCAAAATATTTTTTATGAGATTTTACAAATTTTATTTATTATTTGTTGATGAATTAATTGATTATTTATCAATGATTATTTATTTAGTCATGCATGAACTACAAAAGCTTTTTGCTTTCTTGACTTTAAGTCAAAGAACATTTGGTGATGTGACTCCTGTGATGAGTGCCATTGGAATGGATGAGATCATTTGTGGATGGGATCATGCCACGAGTAAATTTATTTATCTTTCATAATTATGTCATTGTAATAATTATCATTGTAATTATAATAATAATTGTAAATTATAATCATTGTCATCATCATCATCATCATAATTTTAAATGGTTTAGGTTTTTTTGATAAAATAATGAAATTATTTAATTACGCTTCCCTTTTTCGTGACAAGGTTAATCCATTTGATAATGGAGATTCTGCAATTTCTGATTCAGGGATATTATCATTCGATAAGTAATTATTATATATTTCATATTTTCATACATAACTCGGGAAATTAATTAATTATATTATTTGTATTATTTTAGTCTTTTTAAATCTATTATTTATCGTGGACATGAAGGAACTAATCAAAGAAAGGAAGAGATCGTTAATACTATAATATCCTTTACATATATAATCTAATGCTTTGCAGTATTATTAAATTTTATTCTTAACTGATGAAAACCCATTAGAAATATCTTATCGTGCTAATACAGTTTATTTAGCCATTGATGCCTTTTTATCCAAAACAGATGAAACTTTTTATCAAAAAGATTTCTTTGGATCATTATCCAAGATTCTGATTATGACTGTAAACAATAAACCTGAATATAATGATACTAATTCATCCAATTATAATAATCAAGGGTTTCAAATTGATAAAGAAATTTATATGGATCGTTATTTAATCTCTAATGCTAGTGAAGTTGAAGACTGTTTGATGAAATCTGGTGATATAAAGCGTGAATTGGAACAATTAAATAAAAAAATTAACAACATAACGAATTTTCAAGTAATTTACATTATAATGATAAAATCTTATTTATTTATGATCTTTGCTTATTTATTCATATTTACATATGGCTATTAGGAAAGATACAATGGCCAAGATTTACTTAAAAGTTCAATTAAGCTTTATCATAAAGCAAAAGAAAATGGTGTATTTGATGAAAAGGCACAGAAAACTTGTGCATTCTTGGAAAAAGCATTGGAACAAACTGAAAAAAAAATAGCCTCATTGCTTGAAAGAAAAGACAAATTGGAATTGAAGCTTAAACAAATTTATGAAACACCTAATATGAAAAATCATCTTTATAATCTCCGATCTGTTCTAATTAATGATAATATTATAGGTGCCGATCATTTTTGGGCATACATATGGGTTTCCAACTCGAATAAACCTATAGGAAAATTTAGCACTTCAATTGGTGGCTGGTGGAAATTCCGTAATATGAAAGTTGAAGAGGTAAATATTGAATGGTGGATGTGTGAACATGCAATAATAATAACTTAATTTTTTTGATTTATTTATTTTTAAGGTTACCGAAGAAGCGGTATTAAATAATCTTACTTCTGGTGGTATTTATACTCTGATTTATGTTGCTGCTGATGTAGATTATAATTTCTCAAACATATCAGATGCCATCCCATATTCACTAAAGGTAGGTTATTTATTACATTTAGATTTATAGTTTAGAATAAATTATTAATATAATGATTAAAAACTCGTTGTTGTTAGGAATTTATTGAAAAAGATAATGAATTATTAAGTCAAGAAACACAAAATCATTTCCGAGACAGAGAAACATCACAAGAACAATATAATCAATACTCTCAATCAGAATTTTCTTCTGGAACTGGTGAGGCTTGGAGGAACAATAGCGCCTTGAAAAATGATCCGATGATGTGTGGTGATAGTGATCTAAACGATATTAATAATGGGATTGAGTTTACGAAAAATTAGCATATAAATATGCTAATATTAGGTATATTATTAGGTTATTAGTTATCAATATATATTACTTGTATACTATTATTATTTGTTGTATCAGAATATTTAAGATAATTTTTTTTTAATGCTTATTTCATACTTTCACAAAATTGCATTTTGTTTATATCATAGATTTTTTTTTTTGTTGTTGTAACAATTTTTCAGCTGCTCAATAATAAGATCATATAAATATTAACTGTAAAATAATAAAAATTATGTGAGGCATGCTTACGACAAAGTGAACATTATGTCACAGGAGTCAAATTTTGGTCATTTTTTATTTTAAAAAAATAAAACTTAAAAGATGCTTACGAATTCTTTTATGAATTATTGGTTGATCCAACAATCTACAAAAGAACTACTCCTGTAAAAGAACACGATACAAGCAAATAAAGAGTCTGAGATGGGACAAGTTTTATTTAATGGCAACTTTCTTCTCTCCATGTAACTCATATATATTTCAGTAGTTACTGCCTCCACTATAAAAAATTTTTACCAATGGAATACAATCCTAGGAAAAAATAATAAATTCAGGAATGGGTCAATATGAAGAGAATAAAGTGATGAAGATTATGCTGGAGAAAACAATGCTATTAATAATAAACATGGTACATAGATTTCTTCCAGAGTGGCTAAAGAAAAGCATCCCATGTAATTGCTCTGATATCTATATACGGTATATATAAATTAAAATCATTTTATCCTTTTGTTATTATTTGATCTTTTCCTTGAACGTGAATAATCCTCATTGTTGTGTATTAGTATGTTTATTTGAAATTGAATTTGTGGAAATTAACAAACTGATAAATCACATCACCAAGTAATAATGATAATGCAAAAACAACCTTTTAAGAAATCGATTTCGCTTCGAATTTAACTAAAAAAAAAAAAAAAATTCTAAACATAATTAACGACAACAATTCGTTATGAAATATTTGGCAATTCCTTCTTCATCAGTTCCTAAGACTTTTTTCTGATACGGAACAACAACAAATTATTTTGTTACGAAACAGACTTGGCATTATTAGTTCACTCATGTTCTTTTTTTGAAATGAAACAAAAAATTTGTGATCCAAAATTTATCTTGTCATAAAGACGCGCGTTTTATCGAAGTACCATCCAATTGTGTTTCGGGCATGCGACCTATATAGCCTCTTTCGTTTTAACATTTTCATATTTGAACTTTATTTTATTTATTCGTATTTTTATTATTTAACATTTAACGTTTAAAATTTTATTATACTACAGCTTACAATATTCGAATACATGTAGCAAATAGATTTTAGGTAGCTTTGATTCTATTAATAAAATTCCGGTGCTGATGTTTGTAATTCAAGTCGAATCCGTTGACCATTTGTGTTTGGGTATCTGATACTTTTTAATACATAGTTACCAATCCACTTTATTGAAATATAAAAATACCACCAAGTTTTATATTTAATAAAAGTAATAGAAATGATATCAATACTTATTTTATGTAGTTGTTTTTTATTACTTGGTTTTGGCGGCAGTTATGATGTTTGGTTTAAAAACGATATAATTCATAATGAATCAAAGGCTTACAATGACATCAATACATTAAACGTTAGCGAATTAAAAGGTTTTCAAATAATTGATGGATTAAAAAATAAAATAATAAAGGGACCAACAAAGGTCATTTTAATATAATTTTGGGGTATAAGTGTAACAACATGTGATTGACCGACCATTCATTTTTTCTTTTTTCTTTTTGAAAATGAGTTCAATGTTTGAAAAATACTTTAATGAAAATGAAAGATTATTAAATACTGAAGATTTTTATGATGTAAAAATATATGTTGGTGTAGAGCCCAACGTCAAAGAAGTTCATGCACATGCATCCATCATATCTGCTCATTGTCCATTCTTTAGCAATGCATTAAATAATGCAACAAAAGAAAATGGGTATTATATTGTTAAGAAAGCTAATATTAGTGAAAAAATTTTCAACCCTATTCTCAAGTAAGCTTAAATAAATTTATTATTATTTGAATATATAATAATCTGTTTAACAATTTAATAATTTAATAATTTATTTATTAAAAGATTTTTGTACACATGTAAAATTGAATTTGAAAATTATTCTGGAGCTGAAGTATTTGAACTATTAACTGCAACAGATGAACTTGGTATTGAGTCACTTTATGAATACATGATAGAGTACTTTATTGAAAATTATGAAGATTATGTAAAAGAAAACCCAGTTAAAATTCTACAATTGATTTGTGCTAACGAAAACTTTAAGGAATTGAAAAATATTTATTTAGAAAAATTTTGTGAATATAGTGAAAAATTATTTGAATCAAATGAATTTAAATCATTGGAAAAACCAATTCTATTGGAAATTCTCAAAAGAGAAGATTTTTCTGTTAATGAGATAGTTATTTGGGAAAACATTCTTAAATGGGGATTAGCAAAACATCCAGAAATCAATAATATAAATGTTGAAGATTGGTCATCACAAAATTTTGATGATTTAGGCAACACATTAAAAGAATTTTTTCCATTGATAAGATTTCAAGATATCTCTAAAAAGGATTTTTTTAGTAATATTGTGCCATATCAAACTCTTTTTCCTAATGTTTTATGGAATAACCTTTTACAATCTTATTTATTTCCAGACAAGCAACCGGTTTTAAATTTATTACCATCAAGAATTTCAACACTTGAATCATTGACAATCAATCAAAATCTTACTTTACTTTTTGCAAGTTGGATTGATAGAAAAATTCCACCATATGTTTCATTGAGAGATGTAAAATATGAATTCAAACTTCTATATCGTAGTAGCAGAGATGGTTTAAATGCAGCAACATTTCATCAACAATGTGATGGTATCAACAAAACTCTTGTAGTTGGTAAAATACAAAATTCAGAACAAATAATTGGTGGTTATAATCCATTAAATTGGAATGGAAATGATGTATATAAAAACACAACTGAAAGTTTTATTTTTAATATAAGCAATAGAAATGATATCAATACTGCACAATTTAGTTATGTCATCAATAATGATTATGAGCATGCAATTTATTGTCATCCTTTTTATTTACCTTTATTTGGCAGTGGTTGGGATGTTTATTTTGATCAAAATGGTATTTGTAGCAGTTACCCAAGAGCTTATAACATCAATATAATAAATGAGAGTAAATTTGATGAATTGGAGGTTTTTCAAATAATTGATAAAAAATAAAAATAATAAATACAACATTAGATTATATATTTTTCGTATTATTTTTCATTAATTATAATTAAATTACTTTATTTACAATAAACATAAGACCAAATTTAATTAATTGAATATGTTAGCTTGATAAATTATTACTAATGTGAGGAGACAAAAATGCAAAGAACTAATAAAAAAACTTCAATCAACTTAATGAAAGTGAATGAAATTCTGGTTTTTGCTTGAAAAAGCAGAGAAGGAAACTTTGTTAGAGTCCTTTTTTGAATGAGCAGGGAAGGAAAAATATTCAAATAAAATAAAATTTCTGTAAAATCATTATCTTTTTAAAAATAAATCCTTAAAAATATTAAAAAATAAACACATTATTTTATTTTCTGTTTAAAGCAAAATACTTTGGTAAAAAGGCAACAATGGTGGAACTTTGGTAAAAGGCTACATTTATTTGTTTAGTAAGCAAAAGTTATGTCTAACATTGTGGAGTGATAACAATGATTAGTAAACATTATTTGCTTTAGTGAGTAGTGCTAATGTTGGCAATTAGTGGTGAGTGTTAACAATAAAGTCTTGTCTAAAGGTTAATTGGAAGTACAGTTAGTGTTATTATTAAAGCTCCGAACGGTTCAGTTTGGCTAGATCTTCATATTTATATTATGAAAAGTTTACTCTCTCTACAATGAATTTTCGACTTTGTTCGTTATAGAAGATGTTTGTTATACAGGCAGAGTTTGTTAAACCGAAGTCAACATTTTTTACAAAAAAAATCTCCAGTTTTAAACAACCTTAACAAAATCGGCTTATATAGAGAGATAATTTTTAATAGGTAGATAATAAAAAAACATTGGTTTATCATGTGTATTTATTTTATCAAAGCATCGTCTTGTTGAGTTCTGAATGTAGAGAGAAAATTTAATGAATCAGAATTATTATTATAGAATGATTTTACGTTATAACGACTTTTAACATTTTTGAAATGACTAATAAATTTGTTATTATTATTATTATTATTATTATTATTATAACGGGTTTTAAATGCCTTAAATCCTTTATAACTTCATGTATATAGAAACAGGATCCTTCCAACATTTTCACTTCGCAACACACATTCAGCCACAAGTCATTATAAGTTTTTTTGAAGTTATTTTGTTATGTTTATTTTTGCATAGCTAACGAATTTAGGATAACTGTAATTTTTGGTTCAAATGTAAACCGAAAAACCGAACCGTTCGGAGCTTTAGTTATTATAATAAAATTGTTATAGCAAATGTAAGGCTGTTAAACAAGCTTGCTTGAGTTGTTTCGTAAATAAACCAAAGCAAGTTATGCAATAAATATAAAAGGAACTATTTGAGATTTGTAAATGGAATATACATGGGATGGTATTGTTTTGCCAAAAACGTAATACGTAATAGTAATAGTAATTGCGAAATTATTCACGAAATTAATTACGGGAAACGAAATGACGAAATTATTATGTAAAATCCATAAATTTTAAATTTTTTTAAACCATAAACAATATCTTGCTTTTGAAGTAAAAAAAAATCGTTTTTAATGAAATATATTGTCTCCACGAGTAATTTTATTTAAAATAAGGCATGTTTTCTATGAACAGGAACTTTAATTATTTAATTATTTTATTATCCTAAAATGATGTTCTTTAAATATAAAAGAATACATATTGGATATTGTGAGGACGAAAAGTAGTTAGGTCACAAGGAAGCAACTAAATTAACCAGTGTAGTGTTAAAAACGGGTTGTATAGAAAATTTCCAGTTTTAAATAGCATTTATTCTGTGCGAGTCTCCCACTATAACGACATTCGTTATAATAACAACCTTGTTATTATTATAATGATATTTTTAAAAAAAACAAATTTATAGATATAAATTTACTCCCGTTATAATGACACCTATTATTTATCCCGTTATACTAGTATAATGACATAATTTGTCAAATTTTTTTTAGGATTGTAGAATTTATTCTTATAACGACATATCAGTATAATAATAATGGGAGAACCAATAAAATCATCCTGGTCATTTCTGAAAAACATAAGGGAATTAACGGTCGCGTTCATCTCATCGACACACATTTCGCCGACAGTTCATTTTGTCGACAGTTCATTTCATCAACAATTCATTTCGTCGACAAACACTTCACTAACAGTTAGCTTACATGTGATGATAGTGATGGTGATGATATTGTCATTGACTATTTTGGTGATTATAATGATTGATGATGATAATTATTGTTTTTAATAGTGTAATCAGACAAATTGAGAATATGCTAATGAATAGTATTGAGGTTTCGTTTGAATCAAAACTCAGAAGATATTTATTTTTCTGATGATGTTCTTTTCAAATATGATTGTTGGATGGAAACTTATAGATGCTGAAGCGCATTATTCAAATACTTGAGCAATGGCAGTCATTCTTATATGCATCCTGTACATAAGGCTAGTCTGACTAGCGTGCCCTGATAATATGATGATGTAATTAAATTTTTAGGGAGGCTAAAACCTCTTTCTTGTCCAAAGCCCGTCAATTTTCCTTGCCTACGGAAAAAATTACATGGGTAATTCATTTTTAAAATTACCACTGCCAGATTTCTTATTGGCTCCTTAAAAGTTCCATTTCTTCCATTTCTGCATGATTCTTGCTAGTATTACAATTTATCAATCCTATTTATTTATTAACTCTTTATCAAATCATGAATATTAATATTGTATAGTCATATGCAATAATAGTGGAAACAAAATACATGGTGATTTTAATAATATATATATATAAATATTAAATATTAAAAAGATCAAGAGAAGAAAACCATCAGAGCAATTGCATGGGAGGCTATTGATGAGTATTATTACGTATTCTTTGGTTTCACCATTATTATTATTTTCATCTTCACCATTTTTTATTTCTAGGATTCATTTTTTGTTGACAGTGAATTCTCTCCCTCTCCACATAATTTGCGGATTTCAATTTCACCAAATGAAAAATTTGGATTCAACTCGTTCTTTCTATAAAGTAATTGTTTGGATCAATTAAGTTTTGGGTTGTTTGGATACAAAATCCTGATTGGCTAGCTTGAATTTCACGCGCGTGAATTTAAAGGAATAGTCCAATCATTTGATTTTAGGTATAACGTCATTTTTATTACATAAAATTCTCCTTCCTATTTTGGGACAAGCGAAGAAAGTGTAATAAAAATGGACTCTGTAATTCCCTATGACATAATAACAATAACAATTGTTCGTATAAAGTTTGATGTCTACTTGTAAAGGAACTTTCTATGAAAAAACATCGGAATAATAATTAAGAATTGAATATGAATCATGTTTTGATTCAATCCAATCAATTTACTATTTGTTAATTATAAGCATAATTATTTTTTATGAAATCAGATTAATTAAATTTTATTTAACAAATTTCTTTCAAATTTATTATACATGAACTTTAAATTTAAAGTTGATTTCTCCAAATAAAAAAAAAGTATTTACCATGAAATACTCAAAGATCATCAAGTAAATGTGACTTGGGTATTAAGTAAAAGTTGTTCTGCCAGGCCAACTGTACACATTTCAGACCAGATAAAAGATTGTCTGTTGGATACAAATCGAATCATTCAGGGCCTTAATAATAATAAATAATAAGATTATTATTAATCAAAAAAATTATAATGATTAGTTATGAATAATTTTTTTAATTTATATAACAAAAGATCATTGATGAACCGAACTTGGTTGTCAACACTACTAATTAAATTCAGTCTGTTGATTATAAAGAACTTTTAAATCATTTCTATTATATAAAGCCATCTTTTTCTCTTTTTTCTCTGTCTAGCATAAAGATTCAAATGTAACTCACCAAATATGATCATTTCCCGGATTCAATCATCTAGTCAAATATCAAAGCTATAAAAATGAATTGATTAAAATAAAAATATTATTAATAAAACTCTAATGCATAATTTTTTGAGTAAATAAATGTTTTGAGAGAGAGGAAAATAAAAATCAGGCATTTTTAAAAAAAAAAAAATAGTAGACATTCAACATGTTTTGATTCTGTCCGCCCGTCTACAAATTATCATCATTTTAAAATCACAAATAATAATACTACTATCATTAATTAATAATTACCAGCAAAACCATCATCTACCAACCTTATCTTTGGATTTTTCAAAAAAACTCTATAAAGGAATTAAAGAAATAAATAATTTAAACAATCTTAATAAAATAATTTTTTTTAAATAAACAATAAAACATAATAAATTATTTAATTATCAGACAAGGCTGAAACTATGATGTTTCAACATATATTTATATTTATTCAGAGTGTAGGATAAGTATTTTAAATCATCATTTAAATAATTTATTTATTTATTTTTAAAAAATATTTCTTTTACCTAAATAATGTTAAGAGTGAATTTAAAAAAAAAAAATTTTTAAAAATTATTGAACATAGATATTACACAATAAATAATATATAAAGTAAGGCTTGTATAATTGTGCATATAATTTATAAATTACGAGTTACTATAAAAAAATGACCAAAATCTGCACTGTCTTCCTGTTTTGTAAAATTTAAAGTGATATCGACAATTTTTTCTTTTTTTTTTTTTTTTTTAAAAAACAAATATGAGACTTCGACTTCGAAATAAAGACCAAGTACACATTATCACTAGTTTGAACGAGAAATCGAAAATGATAGAATTAAGACAAGAAATTAAACGAATCAACGGAGTTTCACCAGCATATCAAGAGTGTAAGGAAAAAAATTGGTTAAAGGAATATACATGTGTTTTTAATTTTTGATAATATACCGATTAAATAAACGTATAATTAAACATAAACAATGTAATCTGACTGTTCTATCCTTGCATCTTTATACAATAATAAGTGAAAACAGGATTTCCTCCAAAAGTATGCGGTGCTAATGATGAAGTAACATTAGAGTCAGCAGGAATACAAAATGGAGATCTTATTATTCTTACAGATTTAACACCACCACCAACTGCTGCTGCTGCTATTACTAATAGAAATTTGAATTCATCGAAAATTACCGCTACTGGTGATGATTCTACTACTATGAGTAAAGATGCCGTTATATCATCTCCAGTAGAAAACGGTTATGCTGTTCTAAGGGTATTTTATCTAAAAAGACCATTTTATTAAAGAAAATTTTATTTAATATAAAATTTAATTTTTTCATTATCTTAATGTTTGTTTATATAGGAAATGGCAGATGATAATTCATGTTTATTCCGTGCAATTGGTATAAAAAATTTATTTAAATGAAATTTCGTAATTTTTTTTTTTTAAAAATTATTAATTGATTATAAATTATTTAGGGTAAGAAGATGATTTTTGTTATAAAAAAAAATTTTTTTTTTTAAGAAAATAAAAAAAATTAAAAGCATTTTTAAAAATCATAAAAGTTATGTACTGGAAAATTCTTCAGAAGTTGCACAGAAATTAAGACAGAGTAAGTGAAAGAGGATAATTACCACGTATATTTATATAATATAAAGTATATTAATTATATAATTATTATTATTGTTGTAATTATTGATGTTTAGTTATAATTGATGCTGTCAACAAAGATCCTGTAACTTATTCTGACATTATCTTGGGAAAATCACGCAATGAGTATTGTAAATGGATTGCACAGAAGAATAGTTGGGGAGGTGCAATAGGTAACAATTAAATAGTTGGAACATGTCTTTATTATTGTTGTTGATGATTGTTTAGAAAATTCTTATTAATATATATGTATTTTTATTTATTTATTTTTTAAACAAAAAAGAATTGGCAATTTTTTCTTCTCATTATAAAGTTGGTAAAGATTTTGACGTAGAATTTTAATTATTCGTGAACTGAACTTGCTCTTTCAAAAAATTATAATCACAATCACAATCACAATCATAATAATTTTGCCAATTGTAAATTTCTTAGAAATTCGTAGCGTAGATGTAGGAACAGGAAGAATTGATAAATACGGTAGATATATTTGTTTTTAATTAGATCTATTCCTCAATAGTTTTATAATTATTCATTAATTTTGTGGTTCGTCTATTTGTTAATAGGAGAAGGCAATTATGATCAATGTGTATATATAGTTTATAGGTATGATTTTTCAAGAATAATCTTATTTAATATATATATATATTTTAACAATATGATATAAATACAATTGAATTATTAGCGGAATTCGTAAGTATTAAGTTTTTTTTTGGAAAATAATAATCTTCATATACCTTTAAAAAAAATCTCTTTTAAAACTCCTTTTTTACTTTTTACTTTTTCTTTTTTTTTGAAGATTATGATGCAGTTGCCTTAACTCCCATGATTAGTGCTGATAAAGATTATGATCAAACAATTTTTGAAATTTCTGACCAATCAATTCTAAATGGAGCAATTAGCATTGCAAATAAAATGAAAAAGGTATTTTGTAGATTTATTGTAGAGTATATTATATATGATTCTCCCCATTCTAATCATCTGTTTCTTACATACTTGTATTTATATTTATAGCTTCACAAGTATACATATACAGCGAATTTTACTTTAAGGTGTGGTCAATGTGAAAAAGGATTAGTGGGTGACAAGGAGGCAGTACAACATGCTAAAGATACAGGTAAAAATTTAGCGACACTATATATATATATTAAGTTATTATTAATATTATAATAATTGTAACAATTATAATAAATTATTAGGCCATACAAACTTCGTGGAATATAATTAACGTGAGAATTAGTTTAGTTTTTTTTTGTTTAAAAAAGAGACAATTTTCGAAAAAAAAAAATTGCGTTGTGTAGTGTATATAGATAATTTAATGCTAACGTTTATATTTAAGTTAATTGTTCCCAAAATGGACTGAGGTTTTATTTATTAAAAAAAGACAAAAGATAATTAATCATTTATCCCTTTTCATTCAGTTCATCTATTAATAAAATTTATTATTTAAACCTTGTATGAATTTAATTGGTTAATTTGATATCAGTTATTAATTTTAATAATATACAGCCGAGGAACTTTTTCAAACGCATGATTGTTAATGAACACATTCGAAATGTTTAAAATAACTCAAATCACAAACCAAAACCGTACATACATTAATAAAACATGCAATTGACGAACACATACTTGGGAGTTACCAAATCAGAACCTTTTACAGCGTCTATTAAGAAATTCTCCTCAAGGGGAATATTAAAAGATTCTCGATTAATTCACCCGGTGTTCGTTTATTTCCACGAAAATCGTAAATTGCTTAAATCATATTATCATCAACCAGAGGATAATCCTGGGCCTGTTATTCCTGCAAAACCCATGGACATATTAAAGGAAGCTGCACAGTCCAATGGCTAACAGATAAGGAAGAAATTGAATTCGTGTTCCAGAGGCAACCTTATTGTAATCATTGTATGTAGACAAAAGGAAAGATCGTGACAATATAATATTATTGTTCCACTAGAGGAACATTTGTTTGAAAGATATCTACATCGTCAACGTAGTCGTCGTCATTCTCAGCACCTTCAATTGTAACAACATTTATTATCAAACTCGCCGTCAGCCATGATGCACAGTGAAGAAGAACGCCGGCATTAGAATAGTTTCGATTTTTTTATTATTATAATAATTTCTACAACAGTGGTAGTAATAATAATAGCGGGCTAAAGATTAGAAACTGTTAATTCCTTTCGAGGAGTTCTTGGAGCCAACATGTTTCTCCCATGCAACGCGCGAATAATTATTAAACAAAATAAAAAGATTTCGCCCACGTTTTATTTTTTTATCCATGTGTGCTTGAAAGGACAGCCGTCCTATTTACATGTTTCGAATTTAATAAAATAGGTTATTGTCTTGACCCAAATGATGTTAATATTTCGTGCCAAATGTTCGTAGTCTAACATATCGCTACAAAAAACGTATAAACATACCTGCTATCACTCACAAATGCATTCGAATTTCGTCTCAATCTCGCCTATCTGTGCTTTGGATCTCCAGAAATGCTATGAATATTTCGAATTCTTGGAAGTTTATAACGGCTATAATGGCTAGCTTCAATCTACACTATTCGAATTTGCTCAATCAATTGCACCCATCCATAAAAAACGATATATGGAAACGTCTCACAACCCGATTGCATAACCAACCCCTCAACGTGTTCACAGGAATTCATCCTGATGTAGTAGTGTAGGCATCATTAATTCTAGAGGTTGATTTGTATACTAAGAAAAAAAGGCCGTTAACGTTTTGAAGGTGGTTCCATGGCACTTTCTCAATTGGACGAGTTGGAGGAATGTCTTTCCATCCGCGATACAGACGACTTGTCATACGAGGATTAATTTGTGATGCGTGATAAAAGTAGATGGTTGGTACTGTATAACTTTTGGTGTAGTATTCCTTCCTTATAATTTTAATTAGAAGAAAATTAAGTACGTATATTCGCACACCAACTTCACAGAATATATATAGTTTATTCTAAACATATTGTAAATAAAAAAGAGAACAAGGTGCAATTCAAAACATATTTAAAATAAAAAAGTATTTACTATTATTTATTATTAAATAAAAATTATATATTACTTATATATATATTTATATAATATATACATCAATATTATTTTCTAATCGAGAGTTTAAATAAATATAAATATTCCTCTTTAAGAATTTAATGGATCTGCTGGTTTATTATTTTCATTGCCATTTATTTGTTGTAAATTATTATTATTATCATTTTCATTATTGGGATTTTCACATTTTAAATGAACAAGATCACTATTTGTTTTACGTAAGAAATCTGATCCACTGATATAATCTTTACATATTGTACATTTTACATTTTGCGTAATGACTATTGGCCCAATTTCTTGATAGGCTTGATACAATTCACATTTTATCTAACAATAAAAAATCAATTATCGATTGATTGGTCAGTAAAATCTATCATCACCATCATCATTATAGTAATATTATTATATTAATAATATTGATATTAATAATACCTTTTCATTTTTACCATGGCAAATGGATTTTAAAATCTGTCCCTCCCTATATTCATGATAATCTTTTCTTATTGATTTAACTAAAAACTCATTAAACATTTCAATTGACCAATATTCAGGTAATAAAGACAAGACCTAAAATTAAAGGGGATTAATTTTAATATCATGATTTATTTATTACGTTAATGATGATGATTAAAATTTTCATTATTACCTCAATAAGATCTAAATAGATTGCTTGCTTATTTAATAAACTTATTATCCTATCAACCATTTCATTTCTAACAATTTAAAAAATGTTAGATATTAATTATAAGAAGATTTCACATAAATTTTAATCGATTTAATAATTACCCATTTTCAAGATAAACATTCAATAACATTAAAAATAAAGATTTTCTCCTTGTTAAAACATTTTTATCCTCTTTGATTATTTTATCAGCTTGTTTTTTTTTTGATGACTTATTAATAATACCAATCATATTACCACCATAAATACAATAAATTTCTGCCCCATTATAATCTCTTAAATCATTTATCAACAAATTTAATGCTTTCTCGTGTTCACTCAACTATATTAATAAATAATCATTATTATTTTTTTTTGAAGAAAAATATAATTTTTCTATAATAATTAATATTATAATAATTACTTTGCCATAAATGATTGCCAATTCCGCTTTCAATATTTCAACTTCTAATAATTTATTTAAAATTTTATCTAAATTATATTGAGTCGAGGTTTGTAAAAATGCTATCAGTTTAGCACGTTCTTGTGATATTAAATCTTCTATAGGCTGAGATAATAAAAATGATAAAAATGTCTTTGTCGTATCTTTAGATTGTTGCGAGAACTCATTTACTAGATATTAAATCATTTAAAGTCATTAAAAATTATTAGTAATAGTTATAATAAATAATATATTATAATAATTCTATCATAAATATATGGATACTTGCATGATCTTTCAAAACTAATCTTTCCTTCATCTGTTTTTATCGATTTATTAATTTCATCAATGTATAATAATACAAGTTCTGTATGATGTGATTCTTCCTAATAAACATATTTACAATTATTTACACTATTTTTTCTTTAAAAAACTGTATATATTTTTATATAATAAAGATTTTTTACTACCTTACTTTTACGTTTTGTTACTAAATATTCAAGATACATCTTCAAACCAATACACCCTGCAATCTTTAATTCATTAATGACTTTAACAGGTTCAAATAATAAAGTTTTTTTGTTATCATGTTGTATAAAAATCTAATAATACATATAAACATACATATATTTAAAATTTTTTAAACAGAATATTTACTTAGTAATTGTTTAATAATAGTAATAATAATAATAATAATAATAATAATAAAAATTACCTTTGCGCCTAATATTTCATCTTTTTTCATAATCCAACTTGCATACTTCATTACTAAATCTTTATCATCTAATTTTCCTAACAAATCTACCATTTTTTCTAAGCCTGTTGCATAATCTATTTTAGGATTCTTTTCACTCAATAAACTAATATAAATAAATATAAATATTTATGAATAAAATTTTATCTAAAATTTTATTGTATTATGTTTTATTATAAACCCACCTATGCCAAAGTTCCAATGCCTTTTGAAACTCGTTATTTTTTTGGTAAAGTAATAAAAGTGAATAAGATTTCTAAATTTTTAAAATTTGGTTTTAATAATTTTTATATTGATTTACTATTGTATATACATGCATATGTACAAAAATAGATGTTACCTTTTTATTAATTAAAATTTGTTCACTGAGCCCTAAATCACAGTAATTTGGCCCTTCTAATAACGAATTTAATAATTTATCTGAATTGTTTTCTATAAAAAGTCTAACAAGTGCATTATCCACAGCCTAAATGTATATTATAATGGTTTAATATGATTTGCTGATTTAATATTAATTATTGTTAAAAAATATATATTTATATTCTTCTAACCTGTAAAATTTTTTTTTCGTCTTTTGATATAGCCTTCAAATCAAATTGCTCTCGATATTTGGATAGATATTTTTGTAAATTTTCTTTGGCATTTGTGATTAAGGTTTTACGTAATCCTTGAGTTGCTGATGCTGTTTCAATATCTGGTTTAATATGCGGGTCATAATTCTTTGTCAAATTACGATGTACTTATTATTATATAAAAATATAATGTAAATTAATTTCTTATATATATGTGATGAATGTATACTATATATTATATAAAGCATAATCATAGTAAAATACCAATTTCTTCAAAACTTCCAAAGTCGTCAAGAAGAGATCCAATCCCTGAAAAAACTTGGACCACCTCATCATCTCCAATAATATCTTCCAAATCTGGAAATAATTGAATCAATATTCTTGGATCAGTTTTTCCCTTCTCAAAAGAAGAAAATGCATCATCTAAAAGTGTTTCTCCCAGAAAAATATATCCTGATTTTTGATAAATATAATTTATTTCATAATTCTTATGATATTCAAGATGCAGTATAAATATATATATTTATATGTAATTAATTTAAATATTTAAAAAATATTATAAAATTATAATTATTTTTTTTTTAAATTCACTAATTAATAATTACTATTCTCCTATTGCGAGTAATTTCTGGGGTTGTCGTGTTCATTGCTTGTTCAGCTAATGATAAAGCTTCCTCAAAACGATTGGAGTCAAGCAAATAATCAGCCTTTAAAATAAATAAATAAATATTTATTTATTTATTTATAATGAACAATTAATTTTTTAAAAACAAATTCTATTTTTTTTTTTTGGAAATTTTAAAATTTTAAACTATGAAAAACCTGGAGAATCAAAGGAGTAGCAGCCAATGCAATGACAGAATCAACTCCCGAAATGATAAGTCTTGTAGGCTCACTTGTAAGTAGTTCATTCTGTTCTATAGTATTGACCTCGCTTTTATTATCATTCAAACTTGATGTAATATTATCACTTTCTTTATTTATAACTTTAGAATTTCCCGATTCACTTGGGGTTTTTTTATTTCGGCCAATAATTCTATTTTCTAATTTTAATCTTTTGTACATTTCAGATGGTTGAACTTTAATTCCTGGACCAGTTGAAATTGTTTTTGCTTTTGTCCTTAAAGTAACAGTTTGAACAAGTTTTTGATCAATAATATTGTGAATTTCTATAGTGTTGTTACGAAGTAATGCAACAACGTAAGGATAATCCACTCCTATTATAATTTATTAATTTATTCTATTAATAGAGATATGGAAAAAAAATTTTTTATTAGATTTACATAATTTTATCATACCAATTGCTCGAGGAAAACTTGTCCATTGTAATATTCCTCGAACTGGATCACCATTTGATAAAACAAATTGTCCTATTGTAGTCTGTATTTAACAAATAGTAATATGTGTTAAAGATGTTACTTGATTAAAAATATTAATTAAACATATATGATGTTAATAATTAAATTAATTCAAAATTAAATAATGTCAAGGATATGGTTAGCAGGTAAAGTTAACAAGAATTCTCCTTCTCCGATCACAGTAACTATAGGTTTAAATATATCAGCTCCAATTGGTGAGTTACGATCATTTCTACTATCAATATAAGTCATCAAGTTATCCAAATGTTTAGCTCTCAAATTGATAAGATTATATTGATAATTATCAGCTACCAATAAATGTTGGCCATATTGACATGCTGTAATTGCACCATCTGGTAATTGAATATTCTATATAAATAACAAATAAAAAATGCTTATCAATTACCACACACACACACACATATATTAAATTATTGTCATTCACATCATCATACCTCTTCCTCAACGCAATTATTATTTAAGGAAAAGATGTTTATTGATCTTTTTTTTATTGCACAAATTTTTACACTGCCATCTTTCTCAGTTTTTCCCTCCATTGATAAATCATGAGAGAAACATGTTACACCTTTGATTAAAGGAAAATCTGTTGCTGGTAAAGCTTCCATTTCAGGCAATGAAAAAAATGATAAAGTGGAATCTAAACATTTTGAAATAATCATATATTAAAAAAAAGAACCCCATATTTAACCACTATATAAGCAATTAAAATTTTTTTACTTGCCACAAAATATTACAGCTTTCATAATTTGAGGAAATAAAACAATTTTTTCAACAATTCTCTTTCCAAAAATCAATTTCTTTGAAATCAAGTATTCATATGGTGTTCCCTTTATTTATATAAAGATTTATAATTATAAATTTTAATATAAAAAGATTGTATATATATTATAAATAAAGAAATTGTCTTATAATACATACAGTTTCTGGTGATATTTGATCATCAACAACATAATGTAAAAGATTTCCATCAGATGTACCAATATATAAATTATTTTCTTTTTTAAACAAGAGTAAGAAAAAATTTGTCATCAATTTACAAAAAAGCGTAAAATATTTACTTATAAAAATTTATTTCATAAACTGCCAGCATACCCCAAGCTTCTACAGCTTCTATTACTACTTTATTGTCTTTATTTCCCCAACTAATGCCACTTGTAAGTCTTGAGCTAGTAGTTCCACCTTTACCATCTCTACCTGGCCAACCCAAAATACCTCCCGGATTTTGATTTGTATTTTGTTGGCCATCACTACCAAGTGGTATGTTCCTTATGAGAGTTTGTAAAGTAAAAGGCGTGAATGCCATTATTGATAAAACTTATTAGACAACAAATTCAAAAAAAAGTCATTTAAAAAATCATTTGAAAGTCACATGATTGTATCAGCATAGCGGAAATTTGATTTCATTGGCTAGATTTTGTGACTATGATGACTATCGCACAATTTTTTTTGAGAAATTCCGATTACACAAAAATTAATACTTGACAATGACATGTAGTGATGGGCGGGTTTATAACAACCTAGTTTATACCCTGTTATATACCTGTTATATACCATGTTATATACCATTACTGCTTTTATAC